TAGAGGTGGCCACCCGGATCCGTTAATAGCGGACAGAGGTTAATTTCCGTTAATTTTCCGTTAATTAACGGAAAATAACGAAAAAAGACAAAAATTAACCAAAAATTAGCGGATTTTTGGATTTTTTGGGGATTTTTGGGTTTTAGTCATACTTATAGTTTATGGAATTCGCCATTAGAGAGTATGTTTGTATTTTATTTCAACCTATGCATACTAGATTTTCAACTAGCCGTAGTTGTTGTGATTTTTTGGGTTTTTTTTCGATTTTTTTGGATTTTTTTCGTTTTTTCTGAATTTTTCTCCCTTTTTCTTTAACGAAATTTAACGGACAGCTGGTAAAAATTAACGAACCGGACTTAACGGACCGGATGGCATCTTTGAGTGGCCACCTCTACCTGGCCCACCATGCGGCACCCCCCGGCACCGAGGGGCGTTAGGAGGTATACTACGGCCTCCTGATATGGCCGACCCCCCAAGATGACTAGTACGGTGTCTACAACCTGGCGTAAGGCGGGGCGTTGATAGGCCCCCATGAAGGGGAGCCACTCATCGGGCCCCCACTCTTCGAAGGGCCTCTGCCGCATTGCCGCCCACGCGGTGGTAGAGGAACGGAGGGCCACAGCTGGAGTCACCGGCCAAGGTCACTAAACACACTACATACTATAGACCAAAGCAAAATACGGTTATTCTGAACTACAACACTTTTTCAGTGTTGTACCGAAGTATACAAACTGAACGAGGTGAAACTACTTCTTTTTCAGGAGTTGCTCGGTGGTGCACAAATCCCTTTTTCAGGGATCAATCATACACCTATTCTAGTCAAGCGCCAAACATGCTTTTTCAGCGTGTTCTCTCTCAAGCAGATCATGAACTTCATTTCTTATTCAGAAATTGACCCTACAATTCCGCATAATCTCACAGCTCCTATTTCAGGAGTAGCACCACTTTTTCAGCGGTAGCCACAAACCAAAGCTGCCCTTTTTCGACGACAGCGCCACTTTTGCATATCTCAGCCAACTTTTGAGTGGCAAACGCAATTTGCATCAGGTCTGATGCACCAAAGGATGCACTAGCTGGAAAGAAACATCAGCTCAGTGCCATGCCGGGGAAAGAGACATCTCGGCATGTTCCCTAAGGCTCTCTTGTACTGCATCCTTTCTGGCCAATTTCTTACAGCCCATTGCACAAAATCCCTTTTTTAGAGACAACGCAACGAGACAAGCTGCTGAACTCCTTTTCCAGGAGTTCAGCACACTATGTGTGTCTTCTCCCAGCTTGCCCTTATCTTTCTTTGTTATGCAAATCCCGGCCTTGCCTCTTGCTCAACGGCCTTTCACAATCACCATATCATGATCAGCTGCCAATCCACCCATGAGTGACCCAACAGGTCCAAAGCTCCTTGTTCAGGAGCCTTGACCACTTTTTGTACTCTTGTAATCATCATCTCCGTTTTACTGCATTTCTCAGCGCTTGTCACTTGTTCAGCGACATCTCTGCATTGCTCAGCTTCTGTCACTCAATCTGTGACATTTCAGAGTATCAGGATAACCTCAGCGTTTGGGGCCACCGAAGAGTGGGCAGGTTGGGCAACACACGAACACAAACCCGTGCTGAGGCAAGGCACATCCCAGCATGTGTCTTGAGGCCCAAACGCTTGAACAACATGGCCCAGAACAAAGTTCTGTGGCCGTTAACTCAGACTCTACCCATAGCTGGAAAGAGACATCAGCAAATGGGATCGAATCTAGATAAAAATGATGCGCTGAAATGGCCAGCACCACGGCCAGAACGTATGTCTTCTCCACAACAATGTTTTAGCTGTGGGTGACTGATGAATAGACTGAACACATGCAGCCTTGGCGTGGGGTAGTCCACCCTGGAAAGAGCCATCAGGTGTGGGCCCAAGCTTTCGGTTGTGCATGGTTCCTTATAGCCTTTTTTAGTCCAGAAACCTCTTAGTCGAGAACGGGTGGCTTTGAGGATAGACACACGCCCCAACTGGGCAGTATCCTTATAAAGGATGCACAGCTTCGCCAACAATTGAGAGCCGCGGTCAGTACTGGTGATGCAGGTTTCACGGAATACTCTTGATGCATAGGGTCTCGCTCAGTCGTCACCAAGCTCACTTGAGGCATTACCGTATTTACCCGGTATTAGTAGGCACTCCCTATTAATATCCAACCCCCCTCTTTGGGGGTCGAAACCACGTTAGTATCCATGACCAGGTGTTAGTGTCTACCCCCAAACACAGATAGAAATGAGCAAAGGCACGGATGGTGGCAAGGGAAGTCGGCGGCTGGTGTTGGACCGCGTTGCGTAGTGGACGATCGGGTCGGAGTGGATGTTGTGGAGGGAGAATTCGAAAGAGGGCTCGATGGGATTGATTAACCTGCTCCCTGGCCGGCCAGTGTAGGTTCCGGCCTGCCGCCTGCCAAGGGCGCCCCATGGCCCAGCGCCAGGAACAGGCAGGCGACGGCGTTGGTCGTGGGGGCTGCCGTTGTGAGACCCCGCCTTTCAAAACTGCCTACAAAGCGCTGCCAAGGCCGGACCCGTCCCCAACTCGCACATCGTACCAGGCCACAAACACAATCACAAAGCACATCAGCCTTCCCAGCCGGCATCAGCCCGGCAAAGCGCCGCGTTTCAGGCTTATCGTTGCGACTTTGCGCCTTAGCGAGCTGAGACCCATATCAATCCTCGTTCTTTGCATTGCAGAGGAAAACGCGCCTCAAGCATTCCAGCGAACCCCTGTTGGCCCCAATCGCCAGTCGCCACCACCTGATGCAGCCCCAAGTCAAGGCCACCAGCTCCCATGAAAAGGCTGACAACATTCCGCACTAGCTTTGCCATTCTTGTCCATTTCTGGGCATTTCACAGCTTATTTGTCAAAAATTTTCTCTGTCTGCTCTTGGGGATCAGGGCTCCAAACCGCGTTAGTATACATGACGCACTATTAGTATCCACAGCTCAATTCGGGGTTCCAATACACGCCTACTAATACCGGGTAAATACGGTAATTCCTCTCGGTTCTCACGACCAGCTTGCTATACTACTAAGAACGCAAGCACTTGACCAACTTTTGCTTCTGTTTTTGTTTTTTCCTTTTCTAGCTGGTGGTGGCATACTCGGGCCATCCCACACAGTCAGAATACGCGTCAGACGTGAGTCCCTTGCCAGCTGAGTCATAAATGATCCACCCAGTGAAACGGTGGTCATTATGCCGCTGGGCGAACAGTGTGCGAATTGGGGACGGGCTCTTGCTTCGTAGCGTTTTGCAGGCAGTTCTACGCAGTGGGGCCTCACAACGATGATCGCCCCGACCAGCGCCATCGCCTGGCCATTCCTGGTGCTGGGCCATTCTAGAAGCCGCTCTGGCCGGCCGGGGGGCCCAGCAGGTCGACTCAATCCAGAAACCAAGGCGCCTTGTTTCTCGACTGCTTCTCGGATCGCGCCTCGCAGCGTCTTTCCCTGCCCAGCAATCTTGCACTGAAAGCCCCAACAGCAGGCAGTCGACCCTGCAGCCTTTCGCGGGCCTCGTTCCAAATTCTCCCTTAACTGCATCAACGCCAACCCGACCATCCCCGTCGATACGCAAATCACAGGGAATGCGGTTTGACCTAGACTGTGAAACGCGGCCCAATACCAGCCGCCAACAATTGTTGGTTGCAAGCCTTGTCGCTATCCGCGCCTCATTTCTGCTGAGGCTGGAGGGTGGATGCAACATCGATACTAGGATACTAACGTGTTTTCGACCTCCTTTTTCGTTGAAGTCGATGAATCAAAGCGTAGACTGAAGGAGAGATATTTTTCTGTGTGCTCAGCCGCGTATTGCGCAAGGGCGATGTAATATGCACATATTGCATAACCCTCATGCACATTTGCATAAGGGTATGCGAGAGGGTTGCAATGTTATCCAAATGGGGACACACGTTCGAGGTAGGACGGGCTGGAAGAGGATCTGACGTGGACTCCCAGAATTGGTAGGATATTTATTGGATCAGAGTGGATTTGGTGTGCTGACATGCACGAGGTCTGGAGGGCTATTTGGGGTGGCTGGCGCGACCTGTGTGGCGTCACAAGGCTGAGGTGCGCAATTATAAGAGATGCACCCATACGAGCAACTGCTTTTGAACTTGCAAACACCTTGTCGGCGTTCTCCGTTTGTGTGCCCTTTGTGCGCAGGCCGCGGCGTGTACCCCAAACAGTCAGGCTTCATCGCCAACGAGTGAGGCTCCAAAGCTCGGGTTTCGGCGCGGCGCACCCATGGCGCTCCTATCGTTCGAGTTGCATTAGCTCGTGAGTGATCTCGAGTGCACCGGCGCGGTTCCTGTCAGAGCTTCTGTTCGTATCCTAGAGGATTGCATGCGCCCGCACCTCCAAGGGCCATGGGCTGTATGTGTTTGATTTCTGCTGCAACAGCGCCCGTAACATGTAAAGTGGGAGGACGTCCACGATTTCGTTTCCAATGTCGCGATCTTCAACCGCCCTGGGGGGGGGACAGGTGATGGCAAACGTAAGCGACCCCAAAGGATGGCCCATTGCACGGCTGCTCTGTTGTAACAACCCGCCGAGAAGGGAGAAGACTGGCCACAGGACAGCACGTTGAGCTAAGCCTGCTTGGTCATGTAGAGCCGCAATGAGGCCCACCGGCCCATCGATTTCGAACGCCGTTGTTACACTACTGCAATCTCGAAGTCAAGACACAAAACAAGTCCCTATTCTACATTTGTCTCCACACGCCGGGTAGCAATCATGTGGCAAACATTCCCACGCCCTTCTCACCACCGCCCACGAGTAGATTGAGCACTTCCTGCGCAATCTCCATTGCAAGCGCCCAGCCTGCTTCAATCTCACATCCGTGCGCCTGGAGCCGACCAGGTCATTCGTTGAGTTTTTTCACGTTAAGAAAGCGAGATACATCATGCTGCGGACTCTTGAGCTCTGCACTTCGCCCCTCGACCTTCTTCTTCTGCTGTTGCTGTTGCTGCTGTTCCTGCTGCTGCAAGCGGTAAAGGTCAAGTGAAGTCCCATTGAAAGGCTTCCCTGGTGGCCTTGGGGCAGGCATGTCTGTATTCTGGGGGGGAGGCGGGCTCGCCGCATCCTGTGGTACTGGGGAAGGCGACCGCTGCTCCAGGGGTTCCGGGTCGGGTTTCATTATTGGACTTGGTTGGGTGATGGGTGGCTGTGTAACGATCACGGCCTTGGGGCTGCGTTCACCAGACATCGAACGGGTGGGGGAAGCTTGATCATCTGCAGGACAACCAGCAGAAGAGTTCAAGCCTCAAACGTGGCGTCAATTGTGACTGACCAGCAAATTCTCACAGTGCATTTCTCATGCTGGCCAGAGGTGCACCGGTTTATTGGTGCGAGCCGAGAACATCAGTGCATACAGCTTTGACACCCGTGACACCTCATTTTAGGCGCACACGGCTGAATAATATTAGGAATGTGTAATAAATTGAATGCCTACCGTCAAAACACGTGAACAGGGAAGGGGCGGAGTTTCACGTTTGATGCTTCAGCCTGGCGGTCCAAACGTAGCAGCAAGACAATGCACACTGTCAATCACAGCTACCATCGCCAATCACAGCTGTCGTGCTGTGTTGTTGAGGATATTCTGTAATTGTTTGCGGCCAGCCCAGCTGGGAATTGCCATCGATATTGACTGCCACCTACCGGCCATTGCCACGTCTTCAGCGTGCTGAACAGTGCAAACGGTTGGGAAGGAGAAATCTGTAGCCGGCTGGTAGACAACCATCGGGCTGGTCACGGTTGTCACGGCCACGAAGTCGCTGTTTTTGCGCTTCCTCCTCACCGGGGTCACACAACGGGGTGGAGGCGATGGTAGCATTTCGGGGTTCTGCATTCCAACAGCACAAAAGTCATACGTTTGAGTTTCCGCGCCACCATTTGACAGGCATCTCCATAAACAGGTAGAGCTGTCGAAAATTGCTGCTGTAACAGCAAAACCAACTTCAGGAGCGCTCAGCCACAAGGGCCGCATTGTAAATTGTCTTGCAGCAATCCCATATTCTGTGGAAGCGACTGTCTTGAGACAATGACCAGCCTCTTGCCAACGACATCTGACAATGCAGTGGATTGGGGGAAGGATTATTATTGCTCTCAAGTTTGAGACAAACCCTGAAGTCAATACCAATATGTGTACATTGCACTCTTTTTCTTTCAAAGAGCAACCAGGCAACCTTCGTGCAGGCGAATTCAATAACACCAGACCCAGGAGTCTGCCATGGGAACCACAATTAGTCAATCGACCAACCAACACGACTCCAGTAAACTAAGCGACAATCGCTTTGGGAATGGACACACTTACTCGCTGGAAATCCTGGGAGGTGAAATCCTGAGTCGTGGGGTATATGCCCCACCCAGGATGCCGAGGCCTTGACCAACATTCCTTTGCCTGCTTGTGTAGCTCGTCCATCCTCTCCTGCTCCTCACGGAAGGCCGTGTCATAACTGATACTGTTGTACGTATGCTCAACAACCTCGACCAAGCCTGCATTACACCAACAAGACAACTAAGTTTTCTGTCCCTATCAACAGCTGTACAGGACACTCTGCAATTGTTGCACGTGTTTCAAGGCGAGCAGCCATTAAAAGCGGTCACCAGTTGGATCCACTTTTGGAAAACTGGGTTTTGCAGATGTGTGCAGACTGCAACAACTCCCTGTCTATGCAGTTGCCCTTCAAGGTTTCCAGCTAGACTGCAGCACCAGTGTCTCTTGTGTCTCCCAAACTGAACCGGTGACCACTGAGCCACAAATTGCTCTGCTACACGGCAAAAGATTCAAAGGCCACAGAATGAGCGTCTGATGTACCTTGTGGCTTGGTCAAGTCCACCTCTCCTAGGGTGCAAGAGTACAGCAGGCCCACCATGGGGCCCAGCTCGCCGCCATTTCGGTACCACCACACACGGAGGCGGCTGTCCGATGGGACAGCGGTCATGGCATGATCGCACGCCTCATTCCACTGGTTGTCACTCATCCGCAGCATACTGGTGACCTGGCACACATCCAAAGGAAAGCATGTGAGCAGCAACTGGTGGAAATTTCCCCCTTGCTCTTCTGCTCAAGCGCAGGGCATTAGAGTTGCTGAAATGGCAGAATAATCCACATGTGCAAGTGTGCCTGCCTCTGAGGACTTCATCCCAGAAGCAAGCATCTCATGAAGTGAAAAGCAAGGGGGATCTGCACGTACCTTTTTCCTCAGCCTGGAATCCAGTTTGACTGCATGAGCAAGCTTCAGAAAATCGTCAACTGCATCAGCACCAGCCACAAGTCAGCTTCTTCCAGCTCTGCCCAAATTCATGCAATGTTTACACTTGTAGTTGAGTCCCATCGAATTGGGAATGGCTACAGCTATGGTGCTGTGTATTGGCATGCTCGGCATTTAATCCTCTGTTCATTGCTGGATAGAAATTGCAGCCGCAATCCTCCATGTTTGCTCCCAAGTCTGTCTTGCCAATTTTCAGAAACGAAAACTTCAGCACAACAAAATACCAACCCAGGGGATGTATGACAAACTCCTTTGTGAGCACCCAGTCGCTGGCCCCCCAATGATGCCACACCAACACCATGAAACGATGAACAGTGAAAGAGTGCTGACAACCATCAACATGCTGTACCACCCTCTGGGGCAACTTTCCAGCCCGATTTTCTTTTTGCACATACATGGTCAAAATCGTGCAGCATGCACACAAAGCAGAGCTTTGCAGTCACTTCACGCAAGGCACTGCTATTTCATGCTCAAGCACACAAGCAAATTAATAACTTCACAATGGAGAGGGCGCTGTGTTGCTCATGTTCCTCCCACCTGTGTCAACTTGCTTTGGCCATCCTCGAGGCAGCTTGGACAAGCTCAGCTGCTTCATGAGTACATCCCCCAGCCTGCTCAGTGTCTCCACTCGCTGCCCACCCATTTGCTCAAGAGTAGATACCTGGTCGTGCTTCAGAGGCACCTCCTTCTTCTGTGCCAGTTTCGACCTCTGGGTCGCCACCACAAAGTCATCTGTAATCGCAGGCGTCACAAGGCTTGGCTCCAGGGGCCCTGTGCCCGTCACCCCAACAAGCAACCGGAAGGGTGTCCTGCGGCCACCCAGGAGGGCCTCGCTGCTGTGCATCACCTTCAGCTTGGGAAGCTCTGCCTCGCCTCCCTGAAGCAGCACACACAGTCAGAACATGGAAAATTGCCATCCCAGGGATGCAAGGAACAACACACACACACACACACACACACACACACACACACACACACACACACACACACACACACACACACACACACACACACACACACACACACACACACACACGATGGCCTCAGCTGCCGCTGAGCTCGGCATTGCATTCAAACCGATTTCAACAACAACACACACACACAATTTTTTGCAAGGAACAACAAACTGTTTGTTGTGTGCGACTCATACAACACCCTGCAACTTCTGCATCTTCTATGTTCTTCAGTATGGTTAGGAGCCACACATAACTGTAGCTCAAAAGTTCAGTGTGCAGTGTGTGGCATGATAACCCACATTGACTAACAACATTTGCACCCACAAGCTGCAAGCCATGTTAAGCTGGCAATCGTATGAGGCAGAGGGGAATGCCCAAAGTGGAATCGTGGTAGTGTTGTTATTGCAGAGAAAACTGCAGCTACCACTCGAGGCTGTGGAAACTCAGAAAGCCTGGTCCTGAATTCTGCCTTTAGAAGCGCTTGCCGCAGAATTGCTTCCCAGTCGGATTAGAATCGTTCGCATTGACAGTTTTCAGCGCTGCTCCCACCTTGAGGCGGAACTCCACTAAACCACTCTTGGCATTGTTGGCAGCATATGCAGACTGAAGCAATGCTGGACCCTGTAAACGAGTGTCGCACAGGGAATGTCATGTCAAGTCAAACCCTGCAAGCACCACATCTTCACTTTCCTTGCTTCAACTGCCATTTTGCATCCAAGAAGACATATGAATCCGTGTGGACATGGCAGGGCAGAAATCAATCAATTTGGAAGCTGCTGCCAATTAGTACCATGCTGCTGTCACAAAGACTGTGCACTGCTTATCCTATTTCTTCCGATTGCAAACCATTACCCACCTGGTCACCAGCCCATTTCTCCTGGCAAGCCTCCAGATTCTCATCGGCACAGTTTGGAATGCCATTTGTGAAGAATTGCGCAAAGTCAGGCCCATTTAGAATGCATGCCTGTGCAAAACACGCCACACAACGAATTTCGGCACAAAAACAACTGCACAATCTCAACATGGAGTCTCCGCTATTTCTCGCAGCCAAATGCATAGTGACCGCGCATGTATGCTTGAGGCCGCTGGAACTGGCCTTGAGCAGTACAGGTGGACTCTGGTTTCGAGTTCTGCACACCCAGAAAGTAGAACCACTGCAGAAACGGCATCAACCACAGCCATTCTCCCCGCCCCGCAATGACTCTGCACTCACCTCAACTTTGGTGTCAAGCCTGGCAGTTTCGTTTGTCTGCATATCCACCAAGCGCACCCTCATGGGGGCCCCACATCTGGCAACAATGATCTCCTGCATGAAATATTTCTTCTTGAAGCACTGGTTGCCACATCTCCTTTTGGGATTATTTTCGCAGAGGTTGCATTTTTCCTCTGCACATGCGGTGGCACTGTTCAATACAGACAGAACAGCACCTTAAAAACAGCCTATCTTCAGCAAGTTCCAGTGGATTGATTCATAAAGCACCTCCGACCATTGTTCCACCCACAAGGGCAGTTGCAGCTTGCTCCTGCATTGAAATCAGCAACAAGCCCAGGCTCCATCTCAGCAACCTCGGATAGTGATACGTGTGATTTTCCCTTGTTATCTTTCCGTTCTGAAAAATATGGCCCCATTGATGCGGCTTGAGGCTGGCAATTGAACGTCTAAGCCAGTCAAGTGGCGAGGCTGCGAAGGGCTTTCAAAGTTCAGCCCCTGCAGAGAAACGGGCTGAAGAACAACAACCCGTTGTCCCAGCTCGAACGTGGGTGACGACTGTGCGTCTGTCATGTGTGGACGACATCCCGTGGGAAACAGCCACGAGGCGACGGTGGGAACTGCCCCTGCCGATTCGTGGAAGGATTCACATCGAGGTAAGGTTTCCCAGCCAATGCCTTCCAAGGGATTCGCATTTGCCAAAATCGCTGGCGTGGAGAATGATCGGTGGCCAGCAAACAAGGGTCATCTCAGAGCCGGGATGCAGGGGAGACTCACACGCAATCGTGGGTGAATTCGAGCCTGTAGTTCGCCTCGCATGCCTCGTAATCCAGCTCCATCGTCATGGGCGATGCAGGAAACGTGGCTGTGCAGACTTCCTCGAAGCTTCCTTTCAGCAGAGTGCTCAGGGCCTGTTTGGTCGTAATCGCCTTCTCGAAGCGGTCGACCAGGTGGTCATGGCATCGGGAAAACAACAATCGAACGCATTTTTCCTGTGGGCACGCACGCGGGTGGCAGAGCGTCAGCCCGCCGCCGGACAGCCCCCTCACCAACCCTCGAGCCCAGGACGGCCACAGCTCACAGTCATTTCGCTTTGCCGAGAACATTGCTGCAGACTTGAAAGAACACTCAGCGTGACTGCGTGACCCAATGTACGGGGAAGCCACGCTCTCCCCGCCGCGTGCCTCACCAAGCCGGCCATTTGGGCCCAGTCGCCTCCATCCGGGCTGTTCGGCATCGTGGCCGCCGTGAAGCCCCGCCGATTGCCGCAGAGCCCTCAGGTGTCCTGCGCGTCGCCGAACGCCAGAACTTCAGAGCTGCGGGTGGAGCCTACAAGCTGCCCGAGTCATCCCTCCCTTCCTCCCCCCTTCCCCCGCACTCCTCCCCACCGGTCGACCCGGCCGGTAGAATCGCCCCTCCCCGCAAAACACGCCCGCCGCGAAGGACAACAGAGGCCGGGAGCGCGCCGGCTACACAGAGCCACGCAGCATGCACACACGCCCGCACCCTGGACATTTTCCCGGGCATGCTCGCTGGGAGGAATCTGATCGACAGGATCGCGACCCGGGCGAAAAGGGGCTGCCCAGCGGCGGTGACATGCTGCAAAACGGGGGGGATGGCGGTCAGGCAGGCGGCCACGCCCGCGGACAGCCTGTGGGGAAGCGGGACCTCACGGGGACGGAGCAGCGCGGCACCTCCCCAGTGCGCGACCGAGCCACATGTGACAAGCGGCCCGGGCGCTGCCGCGGATGGGCAAGTTTTCCGGTGCGCCAGCCCAAAGAAGGCTGAGCGCCGGTCCCGGGAGGCAATGACCTCGCGGTCCCCACCTGCGCAGGCCCGGTGCGAATCCGCAGTGGGGCTCATTGCCCGGGATGGCGATCAATACTGCGGGGTGGCTGCGATGACGCCTTACCTGCCGTCCACGGCCCCTCCGTCGTCTGCAGCACTTGGTTTCCAGCCGACCGTTCCCTTGTCTTTCGGGTTTGTCGCCTTGGGGCGCGGGTGCTGGGAGAAAGATGGAAGGAGGTGGGCGCGGCAGCTCCCTTGTGCTCCAGCTGCCGGAAACCCTCTTCGATGTGGCTTCCACGTTTGATGACCAGCATGTTCGGGCATTAACACTGATTAATGCTGCCGTGACTGCCGCGCAGAACCTGGGGTTGGAGCGCAGAGTGTTTGTCGCAGAACGATGGCTGTGACGGGCCGCAAATTTCAGAAAACAGGACCCCAGGGACAAAGCACCCAGTAGCCGCGATCTGAACTTCGCATGATTTGAGGCAAACCACAGCTCCAGAACAGGATGTGCAGCTTCGCGTGCATCTAATTTGTACAAGGAAACGAGCATGCCATTGGGAACGCTGTGGACGCTTCCACCTGCTTGTAAGAATGCAGGCACTGTGCTACACCATACAGTATGCACAATGTGTGCTGCGATACTGGCGAATCGTTTGAGCCTTGCCTCTGGAACACTGCGCTGCACATGGTGACGAATTTTGCCAGCATTTGAGAGGATGCACCAGCCATTCGCTCTGTCAAATCCTCGGGTGCCCAGGTCTGTTCCAGCTGCTCACACCTTTGGATTTTTACAATCGCAAATTTTGCGCACATGGAATTCCAGACGATACTCTCGAGGCACTCATGTTTGCACACTTCCCATCTCTCCGGAGACACAGAGGACACAATCCATTTCGAGCCAGCACAATATCGGGATTCCTGTTCAATGCACATGTCTATGAGCCGCCATTTTTCCAGTGCCATGCTGGCCTGCAAACATTGGCTATCTTATTGTGGTCTCCAGGTCCCGACCTCCTATCAGCAACGGCAACAGCAGTTATGTAGGTGGATGGCCTTGCCAATGCAGCTGATATGGCTACCCTTCAGGCGACGTTCTCATCGAGTCTGACAACCACATGCAGGGCCAAAGACAAGCTACTTTGCAAGCACCTTTTTGCTTCAACCGAAGGAATGTTTCAAACCTACAAGGATGAAATATCCTAAATTGCACTATCGATTGTTTGGAGAAAGACACCTGTCAACCATGTCAACAAGGTTCGGATTCTCAAGAGCTGCAGCCACCCTTTCTTTGTCATTCAGCTGTTTGTTTACAGCAGCCTCCGATGCATGACTGCCAGGCGAAACCTGCGTCAGCAAGTCGATCACGATCCAGTCACACAGCGGAAACAAACGCCCTCAATATCAACGAGTGCACTAGTATGCAGATGCCAAAGGGTTGCAGCAGCATCAGAGAGGTGCATTGTGGCCGTTCAAATCCCAAGCAAATGCACAGGAGGAGGAGTGGGGTTGGTGGGTGGGTGGGGGTGGGGTGGGGGGGGGCGTCGCCAGATATGCGCAGCTGTCAGTGTGCAATACCTGTATATCAACCTTGAACCGCTGTGGCAAGCATCGAAGCAACTTGACACGTATGCACAGCCCTATCAAAGTCGCCATGTTGCAATGCTCAACAGTAGGGGTGAAAGAAACCCTGCCCACAAAAGTCTGGAATTCAGGAACAGCACGAAGAACAGCATGAGGTCCAGCTCAGGGCAGACAGGCCTGAGTGCCCTTGTCTAAACACTGCTGCTAGCAAAAATGGCTCTGTGCTTCTTCACAAGCAAAGACATATCTTTCGATGTGCGGGTTGGCAGGTCCATAAGTGTTTCCCTATCTTGCTGTGCAACATTGTTGCCGTCCAAGGAGTTCAGAGCATGAGAATGCACCCCTAAGTCTCAAACCTTCAACACACCAAAGCGCTCTCCAGCCTGTTGCAATTTTGGAATAACATGGCCATTCAAACCAGACACGCATGGCAGTCTTTCGCCTTGTGAAGATTAGGCTGGCAATGAAACAAATGTAGCACACCATGGTGGTCAACGACAGTTCTGAACTGTGCAGGGAGTACTACCATTCCAGAAAACGTCTCTCACCTGTTGGCACAGGATACAATTTGGACGTTGGCGTTCATGGTGAACGTGTTTTGAACAATTTGCATGCACACTCATGCTGGCCATCGCTTTGTGGGTGCAAGGGCTCTGTTTGTCACTTCTGGTCAAAACGAAGTCGAAGAGCTCACATACAGTCACTTCGCCAAGCGAAAACATGTCTAGAAGTACACTTACAACCAAAATCCCAATTTGGCGAATCTGTCACCATCGGACACCTTCTCCAGAGTTGGTGTGTTGTGTTCGCTTGGGACAAAGCTGCATGTTATCGTCAACAAGTTCTGGCCTTAGCTCTGCCACTGAAAGACCAATTGTTGACATCGCAAAGGCCACCGCAGTATTCAATCATCGAGCACCAGCACTCACCTCACATGGCCGCTGCTGTCATCAACATCAATTTGATCCTCATTTACCACACGGAGCTGCTCCAAAGAGTATGGATGCTCAGGGTCCGTGATGTCTCGGATGTGCTCAAAGACCTCAAGAGAGTCAATAGGTTCCCTGGCATTTTCGTCATCTCTTGAGGACGCCACAACCTGGTAACAACGAACAACTTAAGATTGTAGATCATGCACTGGCCACCAACTCATGAGCAGGATTTTTGTGAGGAGCAATGGCATGCTGCAGGTAGATTGCCAAAATGTCCGTGCATTCCTCAAACATGCGACAAAACACTCGTTTGCAAGTCGAGCGGATTGAAGGCAGAATGCAGAAGGGGCAGCAGTGTAACATGGACTTGGAAGTCCTCGTCAAACCCCGGCTGTCTCGATGACTGTCTTCGTGGGTCCCTCCAAATCGTCCCGATGAGTTCACGACTCTTTACAAGGCGTCTTGAGATGCAGTGCGCCCCCCCCGCAAACGGCAGCGCGGTCAAAGTCGCGGCCAACAGCACTGATACACAAACTGAGTCACCTCACTGCGGCGGGTCTCCTTGCGCCCGTACACCACGGGGCTTGGATTTATCAGTCCAACTGCCGCCATGTCCTTCCGTCGGTGACCGAGAAGTATGGGGCGCTCGCCGGGGGTTGTGTTCCACTCTTCCGGGCCCAGAACTTCCGCTCCAGCTGACGAGGGGAGGATCTAAGCGTTGGTGGGCACCAGCAACTTAGCGGACTGGATATAGTATTATTCGTATGCCGACACCTACTTATTTTGATACCACCATTTTGATTTTTGTACGCTTAGCGTCAAATTTGGCGTTAAGCTGAGAGCCCCCACCCCCTCTCGTCCCCCCCTAGCGTCAATCCTTATTTTGATGCCAGGATGACTCATCAGCATTACCTAACAATGCTACACAACTTCAAAACAGTTTTAAGGGAAGAAAACAACAAACATTGTAGCGACTGCGGTGTTTTAAGAAATGGGAAGCCAAAAGTCATGACAGGCGATGGGAGCAACCCAAAGCCCTGAAAAGTGGTCCGTTCTAAGGGCTCTCTCAATGATTGAAAGTCTGAGGGAGATTTTGCAACAGCTCTTGAGCTATTTGCCGCTGATCAGCGGCGCTTTTGTGCATCTTCCCATCTTATTTTGAATTTAGTGCAATTACATAATCTCTTAGCGTCAATGGCTGCGAAACCCACCCTACACCCCCGCCCCTTAACGTCAATTTGACGCTAAGCGTATAAATATCAAAACAGTTTCCTCCCTAAGCAGTGGTTAGTAACCACACAGACCCGACAGGGAGCACAAGGAGAATGATTTCATTGAAACACTACAGAAGTCAATGGGCGCCACTGGCAAATGTGTTTCACTGTTGTTGGCCTTGGTTCTGAATGGTAGAAATGCTCGCCCGAGGCCATGCAGTACATGCAAAAACACCGGGCAGGTCGAAATCGCGGTACCACAATGAAGTAACCAGGTTCTTGTGCACAGTTGTGGGCACTGTCGCCTGTTCCGAATTGGGAAGTTCATCAAATTGAAGCTGGAACTCCAGGACCTGTGATCATTGTCACTGTTTCTGCACGGTGGCTTGCATTATCAGGCGCGGTGATGCGGTACTCAGATTGGGAACTCGTGGCTGTCAAACGTTCAGCGCAGAAAACTCGTCATTCCGAGCTGATAAAAAGGTTTTCTGTTTTCTGGAATGTTTGGGTATTTCGCATTGTTTCGCATCTGGCTGACGCCAAGAAGCACTTGGACTGCAGGGTTTGGTCAATCATATAGTGTATACATAGTGTATAGTATATATAGTATATATAGTATATAGTATTATATAGTATATATTCATGACTGAGGCACTTTAATGCCCAAAAGCAGTGGCAACAACTAAAGCCCCTCTGTCAATGGAACGCACCTGACTTTGGCAGCCTTGTCATCGCAGCTTTGCTGCAACTTCATTCGTGGAACTTACAGGTACATAGATTTAAGCAAAGGTGCCAGGCTCTTGTTCTGTTGCACAGGTGGTGCTGCGGAGCTCATCACAAGGGAATGCGCCCAGGACACAAATACAATTCGGGAGTGTTTGATATAATAGCCGTGCATGCCATACAATGCTGCGTGGGCTGGCGATCTTGTGACCTCGCAATGATACCATCTTCATTTCCAGAAGTCAAACTCAGCACTATTATGGAAAAAAGGCACCACACGAGGTGCAGCAACACTGCACCCTGCATGCCTGGGCATGCTGTCCTTGTTGGTACAGACAAAATGGAACATAACACGCAACAGAAATGCACAAAAGACATAACATTTAAAATAGTTTTTCGACAACATCCATTTTCCCTTCAGTGGCGCTGTTATTTATTGCAAGGAGAAATGCACACTCCTCAAAACAAATGAACATTTTTAAGGTTGTACGATTGATTCAATCTGCTTCTTGAGGGTCTGCCCTGAGTTTCCAGAAGTACACTGCCGCCATCGTCGCAACATCCAGAGAGTAGACCAAGGCGAAGGACTTCCAGACGATGGGGATTGTCACATTGATCAGGGGGATAAGGAGGAACAAGATGTTGAGGGCGTCCTTCTCGTTGGATGTGCATTCGCGTGCGCGCAATGATGGAATAGTGAACATCCAGACTGACCACATCCTGTGTGCACAGCAATCCCACTGATTCACTGCTATTAGCACAAAGAATGCATCCATTGGACTTCTGCCCAATGAGAGCAAGAAATACAAACACAACCTTTGTGCGCAAAGAAAAACATGTTTACTGAGCATGTGGCACTCCAATTTGCAAAGCACATGGATTGTTCCTGATGCTCATGCGCCTGACACAGGGGATTTGCTCCACAGTCGCCAACAGCAATAACCACAGTGTGGTAGCAGGGATTCTGTAACAACATTGACAAGCCATCCATGCAGTATCTGTTACATACCCTATAAGCCTGGCAATGCTTGGTTCGTCTGAAGGAAAAATGATGTTGAAAGAAAGCAATCCTCCCGCCTGCAAAAGAAGCAAACACAAATTGCGCCTTTGTTTGCTTTACAAGGTGCATTGCCATTGTCCTCAACACTGACAATGACATTTTGGAGAGGCTGCACTTGTCGGAGGGATCGCGTGCATTCCCTGAAGGGTGCAGCTTGAAACCAAGTGGGGAAGAAAAACGTCAACAGCTACTGTCAAATCTGACTTCCCCAATGCCTACACCCCCCCCTGAGTGTTCTGTGGTTGAGCCTGGCTTGCTTTGGCAGCTGCCAGTAGCCTGCTGCTGTGCGCTTACAGTCCCAACATCAATAACAGTTCAATCCTGATGTGAGCAGCAAGGAGCCTAGACACTTTCGCCCATGAACTGCAAACTCGAAGGGGAAGATATTGAACAAAGAATTTGGCTGCATGAACAAAAGCCATGTACTTCTGAAATTCTGCATGTTCTCAGCACCACCTGTGAAATCCCCGTTCAAAGGGACAGGCACGTCAGCAACAGCACTTCAGAACTTTCACTGCAGGACCTGGCAAATTTCGTGACTCATGACAGCAAAAGCGATTGATTCACAACCACACGAAGCCATAGTCTACAAGGGATTCACTTGGCCAATCACTTTTTTGGCACACTGCAACAGTCTGGAGTGCACATCAATTCTTTGTTTTGAGCGATGCTTACCATAGATGTGTGGGCATATACAGATGGCTGTGAATCGCCAAGATAGGCTGCGCTGCAGCATCTTCAGTGATGCCCAGATATCTGAACACTCAGTAATTGGCAATCAAATATGGAAACCTTTTAATAAACGCTCCATGGCATGCTAAGCGCCACATCTTCTACAAGTTGAGACAAAGATATGCAATTTTGTGAAGGGAGTTGGCATGCGGTCCAGGGATACAAAGCTGGACACCAAGTGCACCAACCATTTTGCTGATAGGCGCATCGCAACTTTTTCATATGTAGTTACGATCTCGTTCAGGTTCTGGTCAGGTCGTACCACCATTGACGCCCATGCTTGCCACCCAAACACATTGTAGAGAAGGCTCCCTGTCAAAAGCAGGCCACCATCAGGTTGTGAAACGACCAAATGCGGCAAATCCTTGCACTCACACAGGCCATCATGCTGCCAGAGCACTCATGAGCAGTACGTCACTGGAGTTTGGCCATTCAGACGCCAGTTGGCATGTTTTTGGAACTCTGGCCATTTACGCCGGATTGGCCTTCGCAAGCTCAGTGCTGCCCCTTCAAACTATCATCCAAAGAACTGGAATTGAAGCCTAAGGTACTGAATTTAGCATCACCTTTGTAGGCCGGATTCTGTACGGCCCCGGACGCCCGCGGGGCGAATGTCCCGGCGGCTTTCTTCGCAAACTGAGTGATGTCGGCTTGACTAGCGACCCCACGGATGTCAATCTCCACCGGCTTCACGACCTCCTCCTCTGCACCACCACAGCGCACCAAGGCCAGCACCGTCAGCGCCAGTGCCCATCACTAATGCGCAACTGCGCAGTCCACCAGCAGGCCGATGTGACGCAGCATTAGCCGCGGATGAAACGCCAATCCTGGGCATTGGCGTCGGTGGTCCCTTAGCAGCGATGAAGCTGTGATGTACAGTCACACATGGGAGGATAAAGGGCGCTGGGCGGCGGACAAATAGCCATCGTTGCCGGGGCACTTGCCTACGGCGTCGATGCCATTGTCCTCTGCAGTGGTTGCGGGGTCCCCTTGCGCGGCACAGCGCTTGATCCGCGATGGCAGCAGTCGAAGCGACCGGCGAGCAACCCGGAAGTGGCCGCAGGAGGGCGACAGGGCGTCGCCGTGGGCGGTAGCCGCAGGGGCCTGCATCGTGCACGGGGCCCACAAGCAACGGAGGGTCTTCAGGTGTGCGGGGGGGCTTGTGCTCATTGTGCGTTCAGGACACGATGCCTTAATGCAGCGATAATGAACGACCATCATCCCCTCGGACTTGGTTCCCGGACTGCATTCTTGAATTTTGCCAAACAAGAACAACGCGTTCCTTGGGGCATGCCAGCGGGCGCAGAATATTGTACATATGACGATCAGCGCAAGCCAAGGCTCCAGAGTTGTGACAGTATGATACGCTAATGCAAGCCCGACATACAGGCATCCAATCACTTTCATTTCGAAGGTGTTCCAGGTACATGCTAATGCCCCCATGCATAAACATACCTTAGGCGTGGTCCGCATGATTACCACCACGACACGACCCATGTGCCCCTTCGTGGTCTTTGCCTATTCCACGGAACCCCCCACAGAGTCACCTCCACATGACGACGCGCTGGCAAGCTGCGCAAGGGATGCGAGCATTGCAAGAAGGTAGCAAAACTGTAGCGGGCAGCAGCTTTAATCTGTCTGCAAAGCGAATCGGCGATCGTGAGGTGGATCAGTAAGCAAATGTCAACGTGAGATCAGCAGTTGAAAAGTAATGCATACAAGATGTCTACCTCCCAGCCTTGTTCATGCATGGGAACGTGGGCACTGTCGATGCTGTGTAGGAGGACGCAGTCCATGCGAAGAGCATATGTAGTCAGTGGATTTACTCTTCTGTGAATTATGTTGAGCCGAAGAATACGCCAGAACAGTCTGTCCCACATTTTAATGGCAGCATCCGCATTTTCCAAGTCTGAGACGAGGGACACCGCGCCTGTATCCCGCTCCACTCTTGCGAGGAATGGAGTCTTGCAGTGCAAACTGAGCGCAACCTTAACGAGTATGGGCATGAACCAGGATGATTTCAGGGCGGACACAAAAGTAACTCAAGCCACCAAGCAGGAGGGAGAGTGAGTGCAAGAAAGGTTACATGCGAGGTCGGGGAAGGCTCTAGTTGTATGTGCCCGCTGAAAAAGCGCACGCGGGACCATTCCAGTGCAGTGGCTGCTCAGGCCAGGGTCCTGTGGGAGCGTTGCACTGCCCTGGGCATCCGCAAGTTGGTGATCCTTAAACAAGCGCTCTCATTACGTAGAATTGTTTCCTAATGTGGAACCAGGACTGTGGCGCCTTGGGGTTCTTTCCACCACTTCAGCTCATTTCAAATTCGCAGTTTCCTTTGTACGGCTGCAGTGGCGGCGTGCCCGCGCCTTCCCGGCAGCAGGTCTTTCGTGATGTGCTACCACTTCGGCATAGATGAGACAAGTGTACTTCACTGTCCTCGGAAACTTCAACGGGGCTCATTAGGTGCGTGCGTGCGTCATTGCATTTGTCGCACAGCACAACTGAGGATTCAGGCCTTCAGCTCCCTTCACGTACGCAGGAGGTGAGTCAGAGCTGCACCTCAACTTTGATTGCCAACTCCATTTTCCCATCCGCCTCCTGTAGAATTGCCCCTTACCGCACTCTGGGCCTTTCTCTGCATCAAAGAGACTATTGGAAGCGTCCTTTCTCCGCTTTCCAACTAAGATCTCTCCTTGGTTCATGCTCAGTACCCCTTTCTGGTGTAAACTTGTGCCCTTGGCAATGTGCGCGAAGTTCGCTGGGAGTGGTGGCTTCCTGATTTCCCCTTCTTCTGTTGCGATTGACAGAAGCAAGGATACACAGAGAGAGGCGTTTTTGCTACATTCCTCAAGGGGTTGCGGTGTTGTCCAGTGCTGGTGGGAATGCAGTTCTGCCCACGTGGCCGGCTCAGCTCGTTTTCTTGCAGTACCCTTCTGGAAAATATCACTGTCAAATCTTACCTGTCGTCAACGCGACGATGCTGGTGGAAGAACCTGCACGAGCAACTTGACTAGTATCGGTTGTTGGCCTCGATCTGGGGCACATGACGCCACCGTGATAGCACAAAGCGTTGTCCCGATGGCCCTCGCAGATCTGTGCAGGTGGGGTGGGTCGCAGAGGGTACACCTAGAATTTCCCTCCTGATGCTTGCTTGTGCTGAAAACTTGACCAGGCAGTTGCAAAACCCCACTAGAAGTACATTGACGTGCACTATATTGGTCACAGGGTCTACAGGCAGGCTGCTGAAATGTGTCTTTGCCAGTCAAAGTGGCATGTTTCTGAATGCATCAATTCAATGAGCGGCTAAATGCCGATCAAGCCGATGTGGGCATAGATAAAGTCGGCTGGAAGCCCATTCTGTTCCGATCGGCTGCCTCCACACTGAATGCAACAGCTGTCAATCAGTGCCACAAAGAGGACGAAGCCAGCCATGCTGATGGTAAAACAATTGCCACAACATCAATATGAACAACATAGGACAGTTGGGCAAATTCAACACGGGCAAAGCACAGTTGTAGCCAAAAACAATCCCATTGGAAAGTACACAGCACAATAGGCTTCCATGAAGCCCCCCCTTCCCCTCATCAAAACTGATACCTCTCCAATCTCAGTACTCCAAAAAGGGAAAACGCAACACTCGCTCCAGATGCCTCTGTATCCAAGGGTGCCATCAGCTAATCACCATCGCAGTGATGAGAAGGATGCATAGCGCGATGCCTGCGAATTGAAAAGAGCTCTTTGTCCAGCCCCTCAGGGCAAACTGCTCAGTGCTCCTAATTTCATCTTTGAGGTCACCAGGACGGGAGAACTCCGGAGCATCTGGAACTGACGGTCCTCTGTCCACGTTCCTACGCATTTCTTTACGAAGCCTGCAGTCAGGGCCCAGACAGTCAACACACCTCAAAAGTGGATAGAGGCGGCATGGCAGGCATCTGCCATCCCTATAGGGTTGTGCTGGGAGGCACCAGCAACGAAAATCTGTCAGTCCACCCATCATTGCCATGCATGGATCAATTGCTAATCGTCCGCAGCATACCATGGGGCTCAGGGCGCATGGTGTACACACCGGGCCTCGTGCTGGAAGCCCATTTTCCATGAGGCCCCTTTTTCCACACCCAAGCATGCGCCCACACACATGTCGCTTTTCCGTTTCGGAGTACCACACCGAGAAGTTGCGCGAAAAAGCTGTCTGAAGGCCCGGTACAGCCCCCGCTGGGCAAGGCCCCAGACCACGGGTCTTGTCACCTCCCAGCAATGCCAGCGCCCACATCGGAGCCTGTTGCGCAGTACCTGGACCATGACGTGTCCCAGCCCTCTCCGCCGTCCGGCTTTGGCCCGCCCGCGTTCACGCGCACGCAGCCCCGTCGGTTCCTGCGCGCTGGGAGTCGAGGACCGGCCGCAAACCCCTGCGAACAGACCCAGCGCAACCATTGACCAAAGACCGCCGGCGAGTTGTTTTCGTTGCCGTTCGACGGCTCCAGCGCCGAAGCACTCGCTGCCCAAACTCTCGACACGGAAACGGGCACCGTCGTGCCGAACACCGGCCACCACTTCGGTTGAGATTTCGTCTTAAAGTAGGAGTTCTCTGTGGCCCAGTCCGCCCGCCAGACAGTCAGTGCAACTGGCGCGCAATCGGATGTCGAGCGCGAAAAGAGCTTGGCACAGAAGATGCGCTTGTGGGCGCGCACCCTCGCGTCGAAGACGGGGTGGGCAATCGTGGGAGGCGCACCCTGCGCGAAAGACCACGAGAGCATGGATGGGCATTGAGGAAGGACAAGGAGTGCGGTTCGCCACCTTCGGACAGATGGATGGGCAGGCGGAGGTCCCCTTGAGGGCCGTCGAGCGTCCTCCAGGCACCATCGCAAGGAGGAGTGCTTCAACAAGAGGCGGACTCCCGCGATTGGGCGCACGGCTGCACCCTATCGACCACACGCGTTGAGCCTCAGGGGTCCGCTAACAGTCATACACCAGCCCAGCACGCGGAATTTTGGGGCACACTTGGGAATTTTGGAATCTTGGGAATTTTGGACACGCTCGGAAACGATTGCAAAATGCGCGTTGTGTAGGCTCACAACCTCAAACAATCAAACGATCCTGCCTAGCGTCGTATTCAGCGCGTATACTGTGACGTTTGGGGAGGGGCTGCATGCTCACCCAAATGCCCAAACCAAGACCGTGAAATCCTGTCTGTCTCACAAACACGAGTGCTGGCGGATTTGCTATGGATTCAGATGCCCCCAAAGTTCAGCGGAAACATCTGGATTCTTGTACTTTCGATTTCCTCATCATGTGCCAAGAATATTCCGCACAGACCCCAAGAAAACATATGCCAAACCGAAAAGACCTGAAACTTTGGGCCGGAAACTCTGAGGCCCGAAGAGGTTCTTTCATACGGTTCCTGCAATAGTCAAGCCTTATATAGAAACTTATTCTTCAATCCGTCAGTATCACAGCAGCGTCACGTGCTTGTGGGGAGCCCAGTCGTACACTCACACACTTCGCTAGGAGAGCGCTGGCAACCATGGAGCGTTCATAGAAGCATTTGCTTTCTCGAAATGTTGGAATGGGATATACTTTCTTTTTGTGTTAGGAGGGCTGTGCCAAGCAATCACAGCCTATTGAACATGTTCCATTTGTGGCAAGGGAAGGCCCAAACACGCAAGCGCGAAGATCTCGACTGCAAAACCGGCACAGGGTCGACTAATATAACAATTCTGTGGCCATGATGGGGCCCAACAATGGGTGTGCACCGACGACCAACAGCCAATTCTCCAGACAGCACTGTGTCACGCTCCATTGTGCATGTAGTCCCTTAGGGGTACCTCCAGTTTTCTGTCGTACCACAATGGCTTCGAAAATATACTTCCAAGGTTACAACCTAAAAGATTACAACCTGTTCAGTCTTATTGCCCACCAGTCCTTGTGCAGGTACCTAAAATTGATGCCCGTCAAGCAGATCAGGTACCCATGTCTACTTTGAAGGCATTCACTTCATGTGGCCTTGTGAAACTCACTTACAAATACAATTCTTGGAATCTACATTGGCATGTGGCCTTGACCATAACCCCGTAGTCCGGCAGGCAGCTTTGAAGCTTGGGGTGCAGCCTCAGCAGTCACTGAGTTCAGTCTCACTGCTGGTATCGTCACATTGCCCGAACACCTCATCCTCCAGTCGCGGGCGTTTTTTCCTGAGTTCCATTTCTGCCAGCAGTTGATGGCCATCATCTGCGCCTTCAACGTTTGGGCCCCCATGCACAGCCTTGTTCTGAAGTTTCTCAAGGGCTGCTTTCAGGGAGCGCGCCTCCTCCAAGTAATACTCTTTCACAGTCTTCAGGCTTCGTATGCTGCAGTTGGTGATGGCATCCAAAGGCACCTGACAGCATTCGTGGACGGGATCAAACCTGCCCTTGGCAAGCACCGGCGTACATACTACATGCGGTACGTGTCAAGTATTTGCTACCTCGCTGCTGGTCATGTGGATGTGGCAACATATCATGGCACTGGAAATCCTCCGATAATGCCTAACAAAAGATGCAATCAGTCCAGGCAATGTAAGGACACGAACGGCTAATGGCTCATGTTGCTGCTTGCTTGGGACTGATCATGATTATCTGGCGATGGCCACCTTCTCCACACAAAGCACTTCACTGTCTGCTATGTTGTTGTGTTGACCAGGGATGCAGGCAGCACTAGACTTGCCATAAGCATGACAAGATGCACACCCATCAGCAACCACAACGTCAAGTGCACTGATGATAGGAGGCCAGCAGGTGAAGGAAAGCCGACCATGATGAACACCAGCTGGACTGATGTGCTGGACCTACAGGTATGACCCATCGCTGTGCAGAGAAACAGCTATGTTGCACAAGAAAAGACAGAAAGCCAAGGTATGATACCGCTTTGATGCATTCTCACCTGTCTAAGCCCTTCCTCCCCTTTGAGCACAGCCTCTTCCAGTCCAGCCATGGCAAGCCTGGCAGTTTGGTCTGGAGACACATTTGCTGTGATGGGCTGTGGGGGCACATCCCTTTCTTGGATCCATCGTCGTACCTCACGGACAATGTTGTCCCACAAGTTTGCCAGTTGATCAACCTCAGCATGGCCTACAGACACAGACATTGAGATCATGAGAGCCCAGACTGCAAATGCTCGACTCCACAGTCACGGGACTGCATTTGTCGCACAGGGCAAACAGAGCACTTGTGTCCCATCCAGTTGGTTGTCCCCACATCAAAGGAAGCAAACCCAAGAGGAACCAAATATTGCATGAAATACGAAATGACTTCAGCAGTGGTCTAAGTAACACAGGGCGTTCTTTCACACAAGTTGCAGGGACTTCTGTACACTGGGACATTGCCAATCCAATGCAGAATGGTGAGAGGGCTGGAGGCAAATATGCACTGACATACCTGAAATGATCGGTAGGTCTCTTCACAAAGGTTAGAGGACCAGTACATTAGAACAGAATGGATCAGTGCTATCAGCGTGACTGTGCAAAGTCCCCAACGACCGCACATTTGGACGTGCACACCAGCCAGCAGTTCATCTAGGCCAGTATTTTGAGGGCAGCAGCAATGTGATTGCTGCTGCCCAGATACCTATGGCCAGTCAGAATCTCTAAGTGCTCCCAGTTCCAACGTCCCTCAGACAGTGAATTTACCAGCAGCCCTGGACCTGGCAGGAAAGCTATAACTAGCTATGGTGGACACTCAATGGAAGCTGCTGGACCCACCCCTGCAACATTCTTCTGTCTCGTGCTCCCATATCCTGCCACCATGAGCAGTTTTCCAGGTCCTGTCCCACAGCAAGGCTCCAAGCAGGTCCCTTAGTCGAGTGGCCAGGTCTGTGACCGCCTCGCTCGCTCGAACACTCTTTCGCCAAGTGGCCCTCCTGTTCTTCCAGTTTCTTGAGACTGCATTCCAGGGTATGTATTCCTCAAGGTCCAGGATCTCTTTCCGAATGCGGTGCAAGGCGTCATGCACATCCCTGTTTGGGTCTGGAGTGAGCAGCCGGTAGCACAGCATCAGTGACTGTGGTGTCCAGTTGCAGAGGTGGCAGTGTTTTACGCCACATAACATGCAAGTAACAGCTGAGCTGCATACAACACAATTTCAAACCAAACAGGGGCAAACAGCCCGTTCAAGTCAATCGACGAAGAACAGGAGAGAAAATATATGTGTTCTTTTCTTTGGCATTACCGATTCAAAGCCTCAGACAGAGTGAAAATATGGAGTCCTTAGAATTCAAAGTGCCTCAGTTGCTGGCGACATGGCAGAAACCCTGCAAGCCAACATCTTCGATGTACTATTTAAACAAGCAGCACAAGCCCATAATACAGCAAACACCAACATGCCAGGCTTTCAAGGCTGTCTTTTGACTCTTGCAAACTAGCAGATCCGTCTTCAAACAGGCTGACCTTCTGATGTCAAAGCTTGGACATCTTGAGCAGCAAAGGGGGACCCCATCTGGTCAAGGGACCTTTTCCTATTGGATCCTTTCCTCGGGGTTCCAGTCATTCCACCTGCTAGTGGTGCCAACCATTTTTGTGGCAGCTTCACCACAGCTCCAGTGTCACATCGCCGGCAATGCGCCCAGCCCCCCATCTCAAGAGCCAGCACAACAACCTCGATGTTTGCCATCGAAGACCCTCCACGTTTGTTGCCAGAACGAACAATCATCCTGTCACAACATACACCATGATCTCCTGAGGTCACGTCCTTGATATGTCTTTTCACAACCCACAATCCAGACTGCGTTCCACTCCTGCAGAACTACACTATACACACCCTGAGATGTGCATGGTGTGCAACTGTGGCTAGTGCCATAAACTGTTATTTGTGCTTTCACTGGTCAAAGAGAGCAAACAATTGCTCTACGCCTGAGTGCACTGCAGTAGCCAACAGTTGATACACCAACATAGCTGGGCATGTGGGCATGCAAACCAAGACGGCTACAAAATTCTGTCAGAAGGGTCCTTGTGTCTCTCACCTCTCCCCTACGATGCTTTGCTCTCTGTCCCTGGATTTTGAGGAGGCCTGGCGACTAATTTGACGACACAACACTCCATCTGGATCTTCTCTCGTTTTCAACTGAGGTAATCGGGCACCAGCTGCAGCAAGGGAAGGGCAGGTCATCCCAGGGGAGCTGAAAGGAAGGTGTGCCATTTGGGCCTAAAGAAGCCACCAAAATCATCAATTGAGCCTGCTCAAACAATCCAACATGTCATGAAACGTACGTCGATGGTTCCATCAACACGTGACCACTCTGTTGAATACCAAGCAACCCAAATACAAGTACGCTTGAAACAAGTTTTCATAATGTTTCGACTACCCTTCATGCCATCACTGTGGAGCAACATTGTGGTGAGCAACAAGACATACAAAAGCAGAAAACAAGGGCGTTTTTGGCTGTCTCTTGCCACGTACTAACGTCTCCCAATCCATTCAGCTGCTGCGAAACTGTCAGCCACAGAAGAAAGCACTCCGTCTCCCTGAACCGACAACAAGGCAATTCGGCCACCAACAGCCTCATCACTTCCCGCATCCAGCACACACGCTGTGAACTGGGTGCCAGCAGGCAGATGGTGGAAGATAACCCGTCCAGTCTTGTGTGTGCTCTTACAAGGGGACCCTAACCCACGTGATGCGGATCTACCAGCCATCAGCTACGTCGACCAAGGGCCCCAAGGTGCGACTCACCCTGAATACAGTGACGGCGGCGATGGCGGCTGTCCTCATCTGCTGCCCTTGAACTGCTGCTACGAAGGCATGGTCAGACAGCAGGCTCTGCACAAGGGGGTCGGCAGACTGTCCATTGCGCCACACGACAAGCAGTCAGACACGATGGGAGGCCTGAGAGGGGCAACAAGGGGAAGGCGGAGGTGCCGAACCTCCTCTGCGTGGGCAAATGTGGGGAAGTGAAGCTGTGGCTCCTGGAAGGCGACAACTGAGGGGCGTCCCAATCTGATGGGGTGCCAGGTGGTGCCACCGCTTCCAAAGACCACAAGCAGCGCCCCACCGAGCGGCAAAAATGCCATGCACACGCGGCCGGCACTGGTATTATGGAAACGCCCACCGTTGCATGAGTGGACTCGTCCGCGAATGAAAGACCGAGACGCCAATCCCAAGCACTGGCGTGTTCCCAAGCCACAGCAATCTGCAGGGCAGGCTTCGCACCAGCCTTTCTCATCCTCCCCAGAGGACACCCACCCAGCGGCTTTGCCTGCTGGGACCCTTGTCCCGGGCTGCTGCAAGTAAACCCCACAATATCGCCCAACAGCTCCCAAGCGAGACATGCGCGCAAAACCCACCCTGGACTGCTCCCTGCCAAATACCCAGGCTACAGCAGAGCCAAGGGCGGCCAGCTGAATATGCTCTATTTTCTATTCTGGAGCGTGGGCAGTCGCTCCGCGCCAAGCACGGCCGTCGCCAGGGCTCCTTTTTTCAGGCCTGCCTAGGACCCGCTGATGCCAGCGGAAATCTAAAGGGCTGTGTTGTGCGCACCGGTTACCTGCAGCTGCGAGTTGGCCATCGTCATGACAGTGCCTGGCGCGCGAGAGTGGGCCACCGAGGGGTCCATGAGGGACAGCAGCGGGGGCACGTTGCCCGGAGGAGGGCGTGGAGGGAAGAAGGCGCACTGGTATGGGAACTGCATCGCCGCCCGTCAAGGCAGTCCCACACACGGAAGCCGGGGGCCCCACACACAGCCGTACGACGCACTGAATAACGTCATACCAGGAGAGCTGCAACCCCTGAATCCACGAAGCAGTGCCTGGAAGAGATTTGTCGGTTGGAAGTGCCCTTTGAATGGTGGCCATTCCTGTGTTTGCAGAATTTTTAATGCATCGGCGCATAATTAAATTGTTGATGTGTACTGCTTGCCTATTCACCAATCAGTGCCTTCATATCTCTTCCTGTCAGCGCCTTGCTTGGTGCCTCTGGCAATGGCGAATTCCCGTTGTTGCTCGCTTTGGATGTATGGATTCCAGTCATTGCACGTCAGGTGCAAGGGCCCCGCGTTCCTTTGGAAGGCAAATTGAAACCGAGATATTTAGCCAGCCGCTTTGAAGAATGGGTTTGGGGGGAGCCTAGCATTGCACAAGAAAACCACGCAACGGGAGACAAGAATCCACAACACATAGGCCCCGGTGTCTTTGAGCCGCCCCTGCAACCCACGAAGGCAGAAAGGAATAGTCACCCAGCTAGAGGAAAATGTGTGCATTGCCGGGTGCCAACTGCGGGCCCCACGGTCCTTTGTAAGGGCGTTTTACCAATTTTCGGGTCCTTGTGCTCGTCTACAGCGCCCCTAGATTTGGGTGAAAAATGGGTGCCTCCAGGCTCTTCGGCAAAATGCCAAACCATGGGTTACTGGGAGACTGACCGGCGAATCAGACGCAGTCCCCTAAGCATGCTCATAAGGGACGGAAAAGCACCATGGCAAAGCCCCTCCAGCTCACTGTATGAGCCTGTTCACGTGCACCATAGATGGGATGTGGATTGTTGGAAACATAGCTCGCGTGACTACATGTTGCATCGTTGCCATCACCAGATGTGAAAATGGACGTTGGTTCCCCGCCTGTGATATGGCAGCGCCCCTGCACCCACCAAATCTGCGTTGCAGGCAACAGCCTTTACCTACAACTGCATTACTTAACGCAGAGCGTTCTGCAAGATTGGCACGTGCCAATCGCATTCTACAGCCCCACGCAAACGACAACGCCGCAGCAAGATCATGCCTCTAGCATCGCCGATTCTGTTGCAAGTAATTGCTTTGTCATGCGCACCAAATGTGACCCGAACTCCCAGAAATGAACAAATCCCAGGCACTGGAACATCTATCCACAGGAAGCCATGCAGCAATCACAGAAACATCAACCGACCCCTTCAAAATGTCATGCAACCTAATATCTATACTTTGTTGAGTAGTCCTTGGGGGACACCACCAGCCCACGGCCCTTCCTCGCTCCGCGGTACACAGTCTCAACAATGTCAATAAACTCTTGCTTGTCGCTCATTGCCCAATTGATCTTGTTGTTGTTGCCAGTTCCCAGATCAATCATGATGTGCTTATTCCGAAAGAAAAACATCACAGTGCACGGGTCGTACAACTCATACATTGTGTTGAAATCGGGAACCTCTGTGATGTCCACGAGATAAATGACTGCAAAATTCTTGACTTGATCAGCAACTCCAGCCAAGATTTCGTCCATCTGCATGCAGGTTGGGTCCCAGTCGTGGCCAAAGCGAATAACCACCACCCTGTCCTCCTCACCAAGAATTGCTTGGTCCACTGCCCATCCTGAAACAATGCACACAGCGATTGTGATGGTTGCATGTTTTGTAACCCAGATTCTCAATATCAAGTGACATGGCAGCATGTGGCCCCCATTCCAATATTGGCTCGCCAAAACTACGTTCATTCAATGTGCCCCACAATGAACTGCTATCGATGTGCTTAACATTTATAGGATATTACCACTGCTGCATCTAATGGGCAGGGGGGGGGGACATCGCTTGCATGTTGACCTTGGTTGTACCTGCAATGTGCAAAGTTGACCTTGAAGCACAGAAAGCACAGGCACAATGCAATGATGGATGGCATTCATCAGGCTAGATAAGGTCGTCACAACTTCAGACAGCCATATGGAGGGACATTCCCCATGGCCTACCAGAACAAAAAATCTGTCCATTGTCTGATAGCATCTGGGGGATGCATACCTGAGTGGACATGCGGCAGCAAATAACTCATTCTTCTGAGAACAGGCTGGGTGCTCCGTGCAACAGTTCCCGAGGTTGGAGCCCTACAGAACGCCAAGGCATGCTAGTGAATTGCCCTGCATCGATCTATAGCAGCAGGCTGCACAAGACGCTACACGTTCATCTGCCATTGTCTAGCATATGCAGGAGAATCCGCATGACAGGCACATGAAATAGCCAGGTGCTCATCTGCTTCGGGGCAGGCAGCACTGCACTCCAGGTGCATCGCTTAAGGGATATAACTGCTGGAGAGATGGCAACGCAGGAAATCATACCAGATGGCAATTGTGTCGCATGCCCACACAGCAGTTTAGCTGCAGCTGAAATCTGGCGATCCGTTCCAGAGAAATATGATAGGCAAGCAGCACGAGCACATAGTACAAACTCGCCCTCTGACAGTTCGAAAATAGACCAATGACCTGCAACTTGGCTGCACTACAAAGTCAGCAGCCTGGAAAGCATAGGCAGTGAAAGATTGCAGCGCACTGAAGAACCAGCCGTCCCGCCACTGGGGACGATGGAGGCGCATCGTCATCAGTGAGGCCCATGAGCACACCTCTCCTGAGCTAAACTGCCCCCAGTCGTCAATTCCCCTAAAGGAAATCACCGTCCCAAATGGAAAGAGCGCGTGGGAGCTTCCGGATGCTTGCGAGGCGCCCACAGAAGGGCGGTCCATATCGGAGTTCGTGACCAGGGAAGCAAACACGATGATTCTGGATGTCAAGAAATCGTGGCAAGATTGTGACAGCGACGCTGCCGTGCTATTTGACACACTGTTGGCAAACGCACGGCCGCGTCTTGATTCAATCGCACGTCCAAGTTGCCCTGCAGCGCGGCTGATCGTGAAGTGGGCGCAGGCGCCTACCGCGGTACACTTGGGCCTCGCGCCGTCTGAATGCACCCACTACTTTGTCACCTCAACGCACGCCGCAGGGTGGTGGTGGCCGGCGCGGTGTTCCGATGCTGCCTTGTGCGCCCTGACCTTCGGGTGTGCCCGCTGTTCCGAGCGCCCTGCGCTGACGGTTGCGCCCTGGCGCCGGCTTGCTGTGCCGGCAGGAAGGCCCGTAGTGCCTTGCCCATCCAGTACTTTACGCCCGTCGACCCCCTTCCCCTTCCTCAACGCGCACATTATCAATAAATGTACCCCCCCGCGCATTGCCCTTCATGCCCTGCCAGCAACCAGTGAAATACGGCACCCAGCAAGACTTCCACGTTGGCTACCGCCTCCTGCAGCCTCGACAACTGTGCCCAGGCTCGTCCAAACCGTCGCCCCCGCCCCCAAGGCGCATGGGAGAGCCCCGCTAAGGCTGGCAGCGCCCCATCCAAATCCACAACACTGGCAATGGTGCGATTACAGTCGTTTGCTGCAATGGCGCACATCCGGCCACAGCGGCTGCAATCGGCTGCCAGCCGCGGCGAGAGCTGACGGGTGGGCGTGTTCGATCGCGCGCAGGCCTCGCCGGACCAGCACACACCCGACGGCGCGCCGTCCTTCAATTTGCTCCTGGCGGGAGACCAGGGAACGGGTGGGTTGCATCGAGGGCGTGACCCTCCGGCCTCGCTCCCGCTGCGCGAAAATTTTCGCCTTGGGTGGGCGCCGACTGCAGATGTCAGCGTTCGTGGCGATTCCCAACGAGGGCGCGGAATGGCTAGCGAGGTGCGGAGCCGGCCGATCATTTGCGAGTCAAGCTCGCGTCATATGCTTCCGTCTGGATCGGCGGGTTGGGCGTTTGTCGCGGTATCGCGGTGCTGCTGCGCGGAAGGCAGGCAGGTGGACAGCGGAGTAGCGATCGCGAAATTGGCGAATTTGTGGCACGCCACGATTGTCGCCACGCCCATCACACGCTGGCCGTCAAGGGGTTGGCCGCGGAAGGGCCGGCGAGCAAGCTTCCACCCTGTGAAGCACAACGGTTGCTAAGGCCCTTTGGCTTGTCGTCACTAGCCGCCCTTGCCGTTGGCAGGTCGCCCTTCTGAATCCGACTCCGCAGATCTCACTCTGGTGCCCCGCCTTCGCAGGGAAGACCGTCTTCGTCAAGCGCCAGCTGACGGGAGACTTCGAGTAGAGGTACCAACGTGAGCGATGGCAGACGTGCTGCCGCTGCCCGCGCTTACGAACAATGTCCCATTGTGTTGTCGGCAGCTCTGGGTGGCATGGGTGGTTGAAATTGTCCCTGGACGATGCGAATGTTGCCAATAGTCTGTCCCAAGATCTTACGGAATCTTGCAGTTGTTAATCTGACCGTGTGCCCTGGTGCAGCTTCCACAGCTGTCGAGGTCCAACCCCTCGATTTCACAACCAACAGGGGCAGAATACGGTTTACTGTTGGGACACAACCTGCCACCCGAACTTTGGTCGCCTTCTGGATGGCTACTTCATCAACTGCCAGTGTGCAATCATATTGTTCGACGTGACGCGGAGGCAATCGTACAAGGCTGTGCCAACTTACTATAGAGACCTGTGCAGGTGGGTTACCGTCTTGGTTCCACTATCGTTCTGCTGATGGTGTCCATCAGATTGTGGATTCTTTTGGTGATGCCAACAATATCTGTCTGTGAATGGAAAACACTGGGCTTTCGACTATTGGTCGCTGATTCAGCAAGAAGCACAGAGGTGTGTTGGCCGCGACTACAGCCCACATGCTTGTGAGCGGTGCAAGCAATCGATTTCAAGTTTTGCTTGCATGCATGATCATCATCAAATATGCCCCTTCGAGCCCTTCCCAGAGTGGGCTGAAATGGCATTTGAGTTCTGCTACAGGGTGTGTGAGAACATTCCGATCGTGCTTTGTGGAAACAAGGTGGATGTAGAGAAGCGGCAAGTGAAGCCAAAGCAAGTGACGTTTCATCGCAAGAAGAACCTGGAATACATTAAGATCTCTGCGAAGAGCAATTACAACTGTGAGAAACCCTTCCTGTATCTGGCAAGGAAACTCATTGGGTGAGTGAGCAGCGAGGGTGTGGGGGCTGATGCTGACAATGACCGTCAGTGACAATGGTTGTTCTGTGGTGGCTGTTGATGCGGAGCACATCGCTTGAGCTCAAGCACCAAACCAGCCCTTCTGGCTCCAAAGGATTAATCAAAGAATCGGTGATCATTACGAGCTGCTGTGGCTATTGGCTTTGCCCTGTTGGCAGTGCCAGCGGCTCTTGAACGAGACTTCCATGGAGTTGAAAATGACACTACACTGGCAGTTTCGTTGGGTTCCTCCTTGCATCCCTAATATTGGGACTCATTTGGTAATTGGGACATAATTGGGACTCATTTCCTGCTCTGTAGCCCAGTTATGCAGCGCGACTGACTAAAACTCCCACATTGAAGTGTTGACGGCGCCCCGTGTCAGCTGCCTTTGACTGCCTTGCTGGATATCTGAACAATTCTACGTTGTCCCCTGCTTGGCAGCAATCCCAACCTGCACTTCGTCGAGCAGGTTGTGATATCGCCGCCGGAGGTCGCGCTTGATGTTGTCCAGCAGGCGGAGAACGAGAAGCTGATAGCGAGTGTCGCCACCCTGTCGCTACCCGATGCCGATGATGACGACCTTGTGGATGAGGTACCTGCTGTGGCAAGCCCAGCCATGTCGGGCCACGTCAGGAGGAAATGGATATTTGACAGTTTAGAGTGTTTCTAGGCAGGAAAATAGTAGATACAAGCGCCGGGCTGCAATTGCAGCTGGCTTGCATCATCAGCGTTGGTGTGTCGTGCCATCGCAATGACTTGTCCATCATCGTGCAAGGGATGAGAGTGGAGAACCTTGTTTGGCGGTGTTGTGCATGCGTATTGGGATTCATACACAGGCTGAATTGGACAGGCTAAACATAGAGACGGAGATTGAACGGCAGGTTTGGAACCAATAGCCAAGCAGCGAAATTCAGGTTGCATCGTGGAGAGTTGTGGGTATTCCTTTCAGTGCCAGTGGAAAGAGTATTTAATTGATGGGATGCACTCCAGACCGTTCTGTGACACTGGGGTGGCCCGTATAGCGCAAATGACTGGCAAGTGTTGGCGCGTTGCTGCCTGCGAGTCTCAGGCCTTGTCAACAACAGAACCTTCCATGGTCAACGCCGTTGATGGCCGAACTTTACAACCATCGAACACCGCCATTGCGGCTCTGATGGTGCTAAGTGCCGGCGCCCAAACCCAGACTCTCAGCATACCAAAATCGACACGGTGTCAGGTGCAATCAGGTGCAATGAGGTTATGCATGCTGAATTGCGAGGCTGAGACACACAATATCAATTTCGGTATGAATTTCAATATGTCCTCACTCACAGCAACACGGTTATGACACAATCAGGATGTGCTTCGAAGCATGGCCAATGCCCGTTCGTGAAGTTTGGCGTCCCCTGCTGCAATGACCTCCCCCGTGGACGCCTCCAGCGCCTCCTGCAAGCCACCAGCACCTCTCCATCGCAAAAGTCGCCCTTGCCAATCCGTCATCACCCCGCCTGCCCCCTCTACCACGGGCACCAGCGCCATGTAGTCATATGGCATCATGTCCGCCTCCACAACCAAATCGCAGAAACCAGATGCCAGCAGTCCATATGCATAGCAATCGCAGCCAAACAATGGAGGCCGCACTTGACCGCGCAGGCGCTTGAAAGCTGCCTTGGCATCGCCACGGAACATGTCCGGAGTTGTTGCATACAGGTAGGCCTCTGACAAAGATGGACACTGGCGCGTGGCCACACATTTGCCATTCAATGTGGTTTGAGCTCCCTGAATTCCGACCCAACGCTCCTTCAGCACTGGTTGGTCGATGATGCCCAGGATGGGAATGCCTTTGTGGACAAGAGCGATGAGTGTCCCAAACAAGGGCTTGCCTGCCACATGACACACAAGAAGCCCCTTCAATGCACACTGGCTTATCTCAAAGAGTCAGCCATGGCATCCACTGACAGTGAGCCTGCCATTTGCTATTATGCCTGCCGCTAAATTTACCACTTGTATAATTGAGATGTCCATGCAGCAGTGCACCCATCCAACTGGTGTTCCTCCAAATCTAATTGAAAGAAGTGGTTTGTACCACACACTTTGTAACCATTGCATCTTCTCTCTACATGAGGCCCAGGGCAGAGGATATCTGCAACCAGAGGATGTTTTCTGCGATTGGATTCTAGAATCAAAACTCCTGAAGACTTCTTCGAGGTGCACACTCCAGCAGCAATGCCCCTCCTTTTGCACCAAAGGCCCCATAGCCTGTGTGATAGCATGCAGCCTGGCCTATTGAGTACCGCACCCTGGGAAACTACAATCACATCATGCAGTTGCCTGACCCTCACAAGGATGTTTCATAATATGTGCATATGACCAGCTGGTGCACTGATGAAGATAAGCCTGCCATAGATTTTACGGTGATATCTGAACTGAGGACGCTGTGCATCCATCAAGCAGCCCTTTGTTGCGCAGTAGTGTCAATCGTTCAAGTGCATACAAAATGATAGGATGGCCGAACGGTGCAATGGCACCATGCACAGTGAAGTGTATGAAACAACATCTCCCAGGACAAAAGACTGTACAATAGGACAGCAGATGCAACACAGGAGGCATGTTGCCACAAGCCACATTTCTCTGCACCTGTTATGAAACTTTTTGTCCCATCAATTGGATCAAGGATCCACAGGTATTCTGAACCTTCACCAGATCCATGCTGCATTCCACCTTCTTCACCGTACACGCCATGGTTTGGCAATGCCTGCTCGATCAATGAACACATCGCCAATTCTGCCTGGCGATCAGCTTGTGTGACGGGACTTTCATCGCCTTTGTGTTCCACCACAAGGCGGGACCTGCAGAGCGAGTTGGAATGTCACCCGTTTCCTGCTCCTATGTCACACTCTGTTTCTTCAAGCGCATGTGCAGTCATTTGGGTGGGGACACATCTGGACACTGCTGACATAAGGTTCAACTAGGGGTTGGACTTCTACCGTGGTATGCTCAACTGTCGTCTGACACTGTAAAAATCTTGGAAAGCTGTCATATGAGAATAGCAAGCAGCTATAAAACCTATGTCATTGTTGTGTAAGCCATGTTCCAGATCTGCATTGATTCTTGCATCATCTGTTCATTCTGTTCAGTTGATTGTGTGCACATGTGCACCCTTTGTCCCTGCCACTTCATGCTAGCAACAGGTGCAATGCAAGCATTATACAATGACCTTTTTATGCAGTGACAATCAATCGAAATGAAGTCATTGCTCCAGCTGCGCACGTGTCCCAATTGCTTCACTAAACAGCGCCAACAACGTCCCTCACTGACCTGAAGTGTTGGGCTGTTACAACAGCCGCTGCATCCGCCAGCTTGTGTCCTAAATCCACGAATTCTCCGGGCACGCTCTTCGAGGCTGCAGACATTGCTGAGGCCTTAAGCCCAGACTTCCTTCCACCTGCATGACTGTCGCCGCAGCGTTGTACAGGTCAATGCCCTTCAGCAACGAGCCCAGCGCCGCCGATCTTGCACGCCGCTCGGTCCTCAAAGCAACTGGTCCCAGAAAGCCAACCGTCCGAACACACGAGCGCAGAACGCATGTAGGCCTGCTGCATTCGCACCGCGTTCTGTAGGCGGCCCTGACCTCGAGAGCAGGAGGGCGCCGGGGCCCACAGCTGTGCGTCTGCAGCTGGGGCTCCCGCGGAGGGAGGTCCCCGCCGGCATATTGCGCCAATGACTGTGTGCCTTTCCCAGGATACAAGGGAGAAAAACTTGCAGGTGAATCAGGGGTTATGTCCAACATTTTGGGCAATCAAACTTAGATTCCAGTGATGGCGCGGAATGGTCTGAAATTTATGACATTTAGGAAGTACCCGAACGCCCACACAGCATGGCGCGAACGGACGGCGTTCCTGTTGTGTTCCCGGGGAAGCCCTGCTGGAATGCTGGGGTGGTCTTCAACAACGAGGGCCCATTATCGATAAACGCCTGAACGCCAATCGACAAACAAACACAGTTGCAACTGTGCAAGAGCAGTCACATGAGCGATGCGTACACGCTGCCGTTATGCGGTGATGTGACATAATCACGATACCTAGACTGAATAGATGGCCTGGCCGTAAAGGGACGTCGCTGTTTTGAGGCCTGTCTGTAACTCGGCTGCCTCCAGCTCGTTCCCAGACCTCCACCTCCACCGGAACCGCTTCTCCACTGGTGAACCAGCCAGCGACCAATCAGCGGCAACCTGAATGCCTGAATTTAGTTCTCCAATTGTGAGGGATTATGCTGTAATCCCTGTCCCATCAGTCCAGTCATGGTGTCCTCACGCTGCGATCGTCGGCCTACTTACTCCCTGTCGGAAGGCACAGGAATATTCCCTCCAAGATTCTCCTCGCGCCGCCAACAGAATATTCCTTCAGAACCCCGCTCGAACAGCTCCTGCGGAGGCACGTTCGCGGCAGCCGCGAGGCCACGCGCCTGGGGCTGACCAGTCCGGCCGCAGCAGGCCACAGCAGTCGTTTTCGGTGCGTCCACCGCTCTCCCTCGATCTTGAATGCCCTAGGCCTCCTGTGCAGGCAGTCACGGGGAACCCGAGTCCAGATCCGATTGGCGTGCTGCGACATGTGCGGCGTTCCACGGGCAACGGCGCACGGGGCAATGTCGGCGTCGCTGGGCCTGGCGGCGGCGGTGCCTTCGGATAGAATTGCGTGGCCGAGGTGGGAGGCCGCCCTCGCTGCATTGCCGCGGCCTTCGGTCCGTGACGGAGGACCACGTGAGATCCTTCGCCAGGCTGCGCGGCTCTTGGTGCGATGTTGTGGGGCTTGAGGGGAATGCAGCGCGGCCCGCGACGCACGGGACGATCCCGGCAGTGGATTTCAGTGTATGAGGTTTGGGCGGCCCGCGGTGCTATGAGGTCGCGTGGCTGGCACGTGCCCCGTGGCGTGGGGCCCCTTGTCGTGGCGCGCCGCGAAATGGTGACACACATGCACGAGGGTAATGCATTGTGTGTTGCCGTCACATTACCTGAAAACGAGGTCGCCTGTTGGAAGACGGTGGCGTGTGGAGCAACCCCCGTTGCCTGGGCCGCATGTTTACCAGAGTTCAAAGATGCTGTACACCGGCGACTTCGCATTGCCAACCAACGTTCTGCTCCCGCTGTGGGGCTTCCCGACGCAAATGCCCTGCCCTGTCATAATTGGCAAGATGCCAGACCGCTGAACGATTGCGGCTGCCTCCCCAGGTCGTTGACAGATCCGTCGGATGAAAGGCACGGGCGCCCAGCTCGGACAGTACCCCGCGGCATGGCACAGCGCTTCTCTGCGTTCCGACCACCTGCGGGGGCTGCTGTCCAGCGTCGGCGAAGACGAGTTCTTCGATGCCCTGGAAGCGGAGGTTGCGAGGCTCAACGGGTGGGTTGAAGCGCGGGCGGGCGCCGCGCCGCCGCAGCCTGGTGTCTGTGCGGGGTCGAAGGGGCGTTTGCTGCTGCCGTGCGGATGAGGTGCTAGGTGCTGAGTGTGGGATGCGACAGATTGCGCACGGGACTCGCGGCTGACATGAAGGGATGCACGCTCGTCCTCGCTTCCGGCGTCACCGAGGTACATGTTGCGGTGCTTACCGTGATGTACACAGTACATTGTGGACGGGCAGTTGGCGGCCCCTTGTCTCCCCGTGCAATGATTGGCTGATGACGTGGCTGCATTTCGTAGACGGGCGTATCTGCGCGTGGCATTGTGGGGTTTCGTAAGGTTCGAGTGGGTGGAGTGCACAGCTCTTTCTGCTTCCTCGGTGAGCACGCTTCTCTTGCATCCAGTGCACTTGGGGTGATTGGCAGTGCATGAATCCATTGTTTGGGTTCAGGGAGTAGCATGCCTCACGCGACTAGTGGGAATGTGTTCACCATGATGTGTTGTTGATCGGCACAGGCAGTTCCAGACTTGCGCGAAGTCTATCATTAGCGCCCACCACTCTCTGAAGCACGTCTTCAAACTGTGGAGCCCGTTCAACAAGAAAAAGGTGGAGATTTCTGTGTGCTCTGGGGCGGAACACACGAAGGTGGAAGTCAAAACCAACACCATAGCCTTCTATGCTGGGGCTTACATCAAATTTGCAAAGGTGGGTGCTCATCCACAGTGTGACACTTGCAAAAAATGCACAAATATGCGACTAATAGCTGCGAAATCTTCTGTGCTGGTTCTGGAGCACTTATCATGATCAGGTGCAAGCAGAATCACAACGGTATCAATCACACCTCTTCCTTTCAGCTGTGGCCTGATCTGATACAGCCAGTGGACAGCTGCAGCGTTGTCATGCAGCACAGAATGCTGCTGTATTTCTGGTGAACAAGTGTGGCTAGACACAGTTGCAGCTATCCATATTTTGTTCTAGCTATGTAGTTTGTTTACAATTTGTGAATGGCACCGACAGCGCTGCTGGTATCTTATATTATGTTGCAGGACAATGCTGTTGCCATAAGGTCTATGATAGATGAGCACCACAAGCGCTACAGTGGTGAGAGGGGCCAGGACTATCTGAAAGAACTATGGCAGGACCAGTCTGGAAGGGCATCCTTCCTGCACTCACCCCTGTTGGCAGAATTGGCAGCGGTGGAGCTGGCATGGACAGTGTCGAATTCATGTGCCTCTGACTCTGAAGATTGCAGCAACGAGAGCAAGGTAAACTGGGGTGTCTGCTTTGTGCATGGCCTAGATGGCCAGACATCTGCAGCCTTGTGCACTTTATCAACTCCACCACCTGATGGGGGTGGGCTTGGAGAGCAGGCGGTGTTACCTCTTCAACTACGATTAATTGCCCAGGTGTGCTCATCGTTGCACTGCTGTGTTGCAGGATGGCGAAGCAGACGACTCGGATCTACAATGCCCAATCTGCCTGGACACATTATTCAAGCCCATCGCGCTTGCTTGTGGACACGTGTTCTGCCAAAGCTGCCTGTTTGAGGCCTGTGGCCACGGGAGTCAGCTGGGCACTGCGCAGGCCATACTCTCTTGCATACCATCTGCAACAAGATGCCCAGAGTGTCGGAGCGACAACGTTGTTGCAGGGGCAAGGCAGCTGAAGGTGTTGTCAACAACGCTGCAGCAAAGGTTTGTGAGGTTACAGCGCTTGGCAGATTTCTTTGTTCATTGCCGTCCGCACAGAAATGATTCAATGGACTGCAACCGCTTGGGCGATATCACAAAGCGCACCTCCATGTCAAGGAATGTTATGATACGGCGAGTTTTCTGAAATGAAAGCGTTGCTGTCATGCAGGTTTCCTGAGTATTGGTTCATGAAGGAACAGGAGGAAAAAGACAACAAGACCGCCCTGCAGGCGCAGTCCTTCCAGCTCAAGGTGCAGAAGATGCGGCAGGTTCTCACTACCCGGGCTAGGTTTCATCCCTCCATGCTCATTTTGGACTAGTTGCCGGTGCTCGCCGGCCACACACACGAGAGGTAGCAGGTTGTCGAAAACCGGGGATCCATTTGGAGTGTAGATTTGCTTACAGTGCGGGCGCCACTAGGCAGTTGGTATTTGCACATCACAGGGGTGTGGGGGGTTTGTATCACTAGAAAATTCGAGGCACATTGCACAGGAACAGAAATGGGACAGCAATAATGGAAAACGACACTGTTGAATCCGTCGCAGAAATTGTCAGGGGACATGCCACAAATGCACTGCAAACGGGCAGCAACACGCTGCTGGGAGCCAGTATAATTTGTGTAAAGATTCCTGCGATCAGCTACATCACAAACTTGATCTGTCTACTCCATGCGCCGTTTGTGAGTGTCCTTTACAAGGGAGGGGGCAGATTTTGCAATGTTGCGATGGCGTCCTCGAGGTGATCTGAACCACGCTTGGAAAACTTGAAAATTAGGTATTAGAAAATAGCGTTCGATCTGGAAAACCTTATATCTCCTTCGTCTCAAATGCAGGCCATTTACTTGGCACCTTCAATGCGGTGGCGTTCATAAGGCAGTGCTGAGAATCTTCCAAATAACGATGCCCATAGAGTCCTCACCAGAACAAGCATCGCTGCCCGTGTGAATCGCGTGTGCTCACGACTTGCGGCACCGACCAGTGTTAAGCACCAACCAGTGCTCGAACCGAAGGCAACACTCCGGAACTGTGTGCGTTACTGCAGGTGGAAAAGAGCAATGCTGTGATTTTTGCATGTAAGGATTGTGTACAGCACAAACGCTGTGTGACAAATGCCCTGCATTCCAATCCGAATCGCAACGAAGCAAACACACCTGTGACGCAAAACTTAATGTTAGCGTCAAGTGGCCCACATCGGCCGTTTCAAGAATGTCCTATGCTCCACTTTCAATGCGCGGCGTGTTTCGGGTATCGGCGGAAATCCCCCCAGCGGTGCCACCCCGCAGCGGTGCCACCGCAGCTCAGATCTTCCACAACGGTGCTCTGCAACGAGTCCATCAATCCAGTACCGGAGTCGTCCAGTGACTGAGCTGGCGGGCGAAGCCCCATCAACACCTCGCCAATCCTGTTCTCGTGCTTGCAGTGGTGCGCATTTCTGTCATTGGCCGCCACCTTCCAAGCCCACAGGGGTCCCCTCCCACCGAGGCCATTTGACGCAGCGCAGCTGTGAGCTCCGCCACGCTGCACCACAACGCATGCGCACAAACCCGTTCAGCACGGCCCCCTGTCGCAGGCGCATATTGCAATTTGAACTACGTTCGTGAGCCTGGCACCCACGCAAACAAGAAAAAGAAAACAAGAAAGAAAAACAAGGAAAAAACTTGCCCGCAAACACCGACTCCAAGCGGGCACCCGGCTGTGATCCAAAGCACCGTTGCCCGTCTGCAAGTTTGGCAGCCATGGCCTTCACCCGCCGCTTCTGCTTTCCGGCGAGCAAGCGGCGGCGGCGGGCGCAGCCCATGGTCTTGGGCACGTGCCCTGGCCTGGCACTCGTCACTGTTGAGCCCCCTCGATCGCCAATTTCTTGGGCAATCGTGCCCTGTACCAAATGAACTCCTCCCGGAACGTTGCCGCCGCGGCCGCCGCCTGGACGAAACACCGCAAGGTAGGGCGCAGCTCCATGGGCTACTCCGGGGCTCGGCCTTCGGACCAGCCCTGAGGAAATTCCCCAGGAGACGTCTGACTCCGGTCGGATCCAGAGATGGCCATGGCTGTGGGGCCGCAATTCCCACCTCGACGGGCGGCTCCCTTCGGGGGCAGCGGGCGCGGCGCACCCGCCAGGATGTGCCGCCCTCCGCCAGTCGTGCTCCATCGCATCAGTTATGTACCCGGCGGGGCCCCTGCCCGTTAACTGAATGGGGGTTACACTGGAGCTGACGCCCTATTGCGTTCCCCAGGGGCGGATTGTTGCACAGTCGCTTCCAAGGGACACACGACGACCGCATACTTGAGCAGAGCAGTCCCTGTTCACCGACTGAGGGCAGCGTGGAGCAGCACGTGATTCTGTGATTTTTGGCCACAATGGCCAAATGGTGCCCATTTCGTCATGGCCATCACGGTGACAATGCGTGAACGTCGGTTACTTCATATCACCGCGCAGCTCCTCTGGGGATTGAAAGCGGGATAACAGAAGAAGATACACTTTTCTGTTTAAACAGCTGGCACCATGACACCTGCATTGAGACGTCAGAGCCAGTGATGTTGGAACAGACAGTTCCGACTTGTTTGACCTCTGACCTCTTGGTGCTTGTGTTGTGGTGCTAGATTCCCATTTAGCCTAACTGGAATTGCATCCAACCCCCTATGTGGAACCCAGTCTGTACTGCTTACCAGATGTGGCTGTGACGACCTTCGTGTGTAAGTAAACTTGGTGACAGGTTTCTCCGATTGTGTGAAACGCTCAAACTGGAACACCTGCAAGTCAGAGCGTCCTCATCACAATGAGATTCCAGGAGCGAGGTTGACTCGTCTGTCAGGTGGCAACACACTCCAAAAAGTAGTGATAACAATTCAAAATGTGTCAACTTTGTCCTCTCAGAATAAGATGGTAAACTGGTCGTACTCAAGATCATCAAGTGTAGAATTCAACACTGTAGATCCTTATGGGAACTGGTGTGCAACAAAAATTGTTTCTTTTTATGGAACCTGCTCCTTGGGCCTCCACTTGCCAGTCGTCAACCAAGGCTGCAGTAACTCGATGTTGTGCATCCCACAATGGTGTGTGGCTGGACAGCCCTGCTACTCAGTTGGTTGCATGATGCCTGAGCAAAGTAGCGGTACATAAGCCGCTGGATACTTGTAGCCCACTCCATGCTGTGTGGCACAACTGACGTCTTCACTTCTGGGAAGACAGATGGACAGGTCAAATTGACCATTCGAGGAGCATCTTTTTGTGGAATTCGTTCACCCATGGAGCCATTTGCTGAAGGACCCCAAAGTTTGGGACTAGCATGAAATGCAAACCATCAAAACATGTGCCTCATAAGAGTGCAGGCTGCATTTCGACGAAGCTCGATCCATGTAACCGAATCAAAATTCGTGAACAAGCTTGTGGTCTGTGTCTGTTGTGCCACTCACACTTCTTACCGTCGGATTTGGGGAAAACCAGCCATATTTTGCTGGCACGCAATTGATGTCGACTTCACCCACACTGGATGGAATGCATGGAGGTTTGCAGATCCGGCAAATGGGTTCTAAACTCAGACAGAAGTAGCATTTGAAGCAGATCTCTCCACGTGTGACCATTGATGTCCACCGAGGCACCGAAGGCCTTCGAACCTTTGGCACCAACGGTAGCACACAAGACATGAGCAAACAGTTGTTGAAGCTGCATCCTTTACATCAAGTGGTGGCGGCCCTGCAGTGCCAGGAAGAGAAACCTGGGCGAGTTGCCCACAGAGTGAGCACCATGGGTGGATCGCTTATGTCTCATAGCCAGCGATTGGTCTTCGTTCTGGAAGACTGATTCACTTTGTGGGATGGCCTGGATCTTTAACTGCTGCTGCAAATCTTAAGATCACAAGCATCTGAGCTGGTCACAAGATCTGTACAACAATATGATCGTCCACTGTCGGGTGCTGCAGTTCAGCCACCCAGCTCAAAAAGCTCCATGGCCACCCTTTCAACCCTGTCCAGACTCTCCGACTTGAGCAGCGCATGATCGTCTTCCACCTCTACAAGTCTGACGAGGTTTGGATTCGCCGCCTGATGCTTGCGGGAGTACTGGATGGGCACCACTTCGTCATGGATGCCATGAACAATTGCAGTGGGCTTTTTTGCCCTGGGGAAATCTGGGTGACTCCGACAATCTTCGACAAACGACCAAGGGATGTCCACTGGCTGTCCCACTGGGCCTGCCAGGCGCGAAAGTTCATCACTCGTTGGCGAGCACAAGTGGCACTCAACCATTTCATGATAAGATGATGATGACATCCTCGTGCACCGTGCATGGGGTGGATCGCGTGTCCCATGAGGCATGCGAAGTTTTCGGAGCGGCGTCACAGCGCACAATGTGAAATATGCACATCAACTTCCATTCTGTGTCTGTGTGCTGAGCAACCAAACAGACGGCCGGAATTGCCGATTCAGCTTAAATTGAACTCAACTGACTGGACTCAATCATGGTTTTCATATTCATCAAATTTGCTGGGAAAATCACTTAGTTAGAAGGGCAATGTGGTGAATCTTATTTACATTCGAATCGCATTTAATGTACTGTGACTCAATTCATGTGAGTTTTAACAAGGCAAATTGAAAGAAAACTTGCGTATTTCGCTGGGACATAACTGCCCCTATCGAAATTCTCGACAGCGGGCTGTCATCAGGCGGCGAAGTAAACTCTTCGTTTCCAAGCTGCTATTTTAATGGCTCGATGAATGCCTTGTCCTAATTTCTCTGTTGGTTGTGTTGTTTCTCCCTGCATTCTGCGGAGGCCCCTCCCAAGGGAAGCAGCAAGGCATACCGGCACAAGCAGTTACAACAAATCACGGGAAATTTGTGCTCGCTACATAGACTATGTGATGAGCACAAACTCCCAATCATTTGTCGCAGCGCACTAAGTGCGCTAGCACTGCCGCCTTGTCTTGAGTGGTGCATAAAGCTGTGGTACCATACTGTGGACCAAACACTTGTAGTGCAAAAGTCGCCGAACGATTCAGAACAAATTCGAGATATCGAAAGTGCCTGCAAAGAACACAGCACAGCTGTCCGGCTATGCCCGACAACCCGGTATTCGACTGGTAATTTGGGAATTGTCAGAAGTTTTTTAAATGGACACTGCCAGTGGGACTTTGAGGAATATCCGAAGCTGCGTCTTTCGTCGCCGTTTCCCCGCCCCCCCGATGTATATTTCTGGCGCATTGCAGAGATTTGGGAACACGCAGCACGTTGATCCTGGCCCTATTTTTAATGTAGCGTGTTGATCATCATCACAGGTGCATCATGAAAACAACACGCCGCTTCGTCCTGTGTTCCGCGTCCCGTGCCGGCGTCCCAGTCTTGCCGTGTTGATACAATCAAAACCTTGACGCCGGCAAAATCCAGATGTCGAGCCTGCGACGATCGACCACGGAGGACCGATGCCCCTTACGCCCCTGGGAACCAACGCACCTTCAAACTCGCTGTGCCCCCTATCCTTCCACGCGTCCATCGCCTGGGCTCCAACGTTCGCCGCCAGCACGCCCGAAAAGTTGAAAGCGGGGTTAAGCAGCAGGATGCGGTCCACGCGATAGGGATGCAGGCACGCGTAGCGCGCGGCGAGGTAGCCACCCATGCTGGAGCCGATCACGCGGACCGGCGCCCGGCTGCCGCGGCAGTGACGGTCCATGATATCGATGCATCCAGAACAGCTGATTGGGTTGCATGCTTTGCCCGACGTGAGGTTCAGGGCCACGACGTCGGCGCCGCGGGCTCGCAGGCGCTTGGTGATTTCTGACGCCTTTGCGGAGGAAGGGGAGCTCAGGAAGCCGTGCAGGTAGAGGTAGCGGACGGGGGGTGGTATGGTGGCCATGGTGGCAGGGACTTGTATTCGGGAGGGGAGCCGTGGGGCTTGGGGCGCCCAAGGACAGAGAGCCCCCGGTGAATTGGAGTCATTGGCCAACGCCAGCAGCGTTTGAGTACTGGAAAGTGTGTGTGATGGCGAATGCCCCAGAATTTTGCGAAGGTCGCTGCTGTCACCTCAAGGGTTTTCAAGCTCTCCGAAGAGTTTGGAGGATGTGGATCAACAACTGGGCTTCATCATGGGTTGTTCTCACAACGACCCCTGTGCTACGCTGGTGACTCGTGTGGAAAATCCATTCGCGGTGTGCGGGCCTCCACAACCACGATTATCCTTCCTGGGGAGGCCCTTGAAGCCGAGGTTTGCCACCCTGCCGTAATTTCCGTCAATTGTTCACCATCCAACAAACACAACATAGCACAAGCACCAGCAGCAGTCCTCCAACGCTGCCCCAATATTTGAGCCTGGTGGCCATAACGCATTCAGCAACATTCAACCAGCGTTGTTCAGCCTGCCTTCTGATCACTCCTGACTGCGCACTGTGCGGACAGCAGCAGCGAAACAAAGAGAAAATCCAGGGAATGTGAGGAACTGTGGTTTTGCACTTCTTTTGGTTGGCGGTTTCTTCGATGAGGAGCGCAGGCATTTGGCCCTGCGCTCGCAAAGCGTCGGGCCGGGCGCAGGTTCGTTCAACGGCCATGGACGACGACCGCATCGACATGGCGGTGTACGGCGTCCTGGACGCCGCCGCGCACGGCGCAAAGGCAGTGCCGGACGCGGTGTCCGAGTTGAAGGGCGTGGCGGCATCGGCGGGCGCCTCGGAAGTGAGCGAGATCGTCCTCGACAGCATGTGGGTCCTGTGGAATTTGGTGGACCCGGAGGCGGACGCCAGGGCGGGGGACGGCGGCGTGAGGGGCGCGCTCGTGGAGGCCGCCCGAGCGCTGGTCAGCGACGGCGTGCTGACGAGCCGAAAATTGAAAGAGACTGCGGACTTGGACTTTTTGGAGAGGATGAGCATGCTGCCCTGCCCGGCTGAGGATTGGAAGAAGAAGGAGGGCAAGGCGCTGAGGGCGCAGAGGGCCAACCTGGTTGTACCGCGGTACAAGCTGCTGCAGGAGGAGTCGGAGGGCTTCGCGAAGATGGTCGCCCTGGCGGCTGCCCTGCGGAGGAGCGACTTCGATGTCGAGGCGTTCGATGCGCTGATGGAGGCGTACATTGGCGACTTTCGCCTCGACCCCCACCGGGTGTTGGATGTCATCGTGGACGCCCTGCCGGAGGAGAACTTCAACGGGTCGTTTCGGGTATTGAGCCGCTTCAACAGGGAGCATTTGGCGGACCTGTTGGGCTTCAAGCTGCGGGGATACCAGGGCCTGGGCGTGCCCACTCCCGCGGCGGTGCTGGCCAAGATGGCCAGGCTGGTGACGGAGGGCTACGTGGACTTTGGCCGGCTGGCGCGGCACGTGGGGCCGCCCATGGAGCAGTGGGTGGAGAAGACGGACAAGTGGCTGGTGGCAACAATAGAGCAGGTCAATGCCACCGCAGAGATTCGGCTGAACAAGTCCGGCAGCCACGGGCAGGACGGCGCCAAGCGGCGCGTGGGGCTGATGGGCGCCCTGGCGATCGACGCTGGCCGGATTGAGGAGAGGGTCAGGGGCCTGCTGCCGGAGGACAACCAGCGGCTGGGGCTGTACGGCGAGTTCCTGAACATGGACCAGATTGATTTCGTGTTGAGGGAACTGCAGGAGATGAGGGGCGTGGCGGCATGGGCCGATGCGGCCTACCCTCCGTTTCAGAGGGCGTTGCAGAGCGCCATCGACAAGCTCATAACCCCAGTGTACGTGAAGATTGTGCCAGGGGGGGTTGAGTTTGCGAGGAAGTATCTCCTTGATGGGAACTTTCGTGGGGAGCCGTATCCCAGGGAGCCGCCGGGTCCAAAGCTGGACCGCAGGGCCTACCTCCTGCTGGAGTACCTGGGCCTGTACATCCACACAGACTTGCGGCTCTTTGACAAGGTGTGTAGGGTGATGAAACATGAGGCTCTGTACTACCATCACACAGACGATGCGAGGGGCCAGAGCACATACGTGGAGGAGATCAGGCCTGAAACTGTGGAGAACATTCTGGCCCATGTTATCCTCCCAGGTTTGATGCTTATTCCAAGCAGCCCCGCCAAGGCGTGGGAGGCATATGAAGTCATGTCCGTGCTAGACTACGAGTCCCGTGCCATCGTGTTCAGCTGCCTTGAGACGTTGATGCCTGCTGTGCCCATCCTGGATGGGGCAGACAAAATGGCAGAGCACCAGACAAAGCAAGTGTTGAAGCGCGTGTTCAAGCCACAGGACAGGAGGGAGCAGAGGGACTTGCTGAAGCCGCTGGCAAGGAGGCTCTCGCATATAGCTGCGGGCGCACCCTTTTCGGTAGCATGGGAAATCATACAGGCCGCAGAGCAGTACAGCAACCTGCACGAGTGCTATGCTGAGGCACTCAACTACTGCCCGGAGCTGCTGTTCGGCGCACTGGTGCACTGCCTGTGCTACAAACTCTGCGACGGGCGGGAGAAGATTGACACTGATACTGGCGTGGGTTTTGCACCGTGGGTCCAGAACCTGTCCAGATTCATAGGAGTCGTGTGCAAGATCCACAGCTGGAGGTTTGAGATCACTCAGCTGCTTGAGCTCATAGTTAAGGAAGTCAAATCAGGAGACATGTTCATGCCATTGGTGCTGACAGACATCATCAAGTCCATGACTGGCATCGAGTCGTTCATGGACCTCAGCGAGAATCAGCTTCAGGCGATGGCTGGCTCCAGGGCACTGCAGAGGGCGTTCCTCTGCCCCAGACACCTGGTTCCAACTGTGGGCAGTAGTGGAAGGGATGCTAAGAGACTGCTGGATGCACTGCTGCAGGTGAGGGACAGCTTGCCACTTACATCCGACTGTGGCAACAGGTGCTGCTCTGATCGGAAGCATGTCCTCTGGGCTTTGCAGACTCACTTCTGATCTGAAACCGTGGAGTTGCTCATTGTTTGATGCACTAATTGGATAAACTTGACCATCCTGCTTGCCTTGTTGTGCAGGGCAATTCTGACAACAAGCTGGCCTTCCCCATGCTCATCCTGCTGCAGAAGGCTAGACGCCTGGTGGCCATCAACCCTGTGGCTTCAGATGTCAAATTCCTGATGCAGTGGACTGACAAGGCCAACGAGGTGGCCTCCCAGTATTTGGACTTCCTTGTGAATACAATGTCCAGAGAGGCCTATGAAAAGCTATTACCGCCCTTGGACAGCTTGGTGAATGACTATGGTCTGAATCCTGCTGAGGCCTTTCAATTGTTCCGGCCTCTCCTGAAACCCATGGAGAGCGCTGAAACAGAAGATGGCGAGATCGGCAACGAATCTAGCAAAATGGAAGGTGTGGAGTACGCACAACAGAACGGCAATGGGGATGGCCTGACGTTCAGTGGGTTGGCCAAGGCAGTGGAGGCGTTCACCCCACTGAAAGATGTGCAGCTGTGGACAAACCTGTCTCCGGAGTTCTATGCTCTATTTTGGAGCCTGTCAGCCTATGACCTCGTTTATCCAAAGGACAAATACGAATCCGAGTGCAAGAGGGTGCAGGTAGGCATGAACAGCAGAGATGTCTTGTGGCTCTAGTTGACTTGTTTTGCATGGACTCAGTGTGCATCTTGCTCCCACTCAGTATGATTGCATGCTCACCCACACACATTGTGTTCAGCCCATTCTGTCATACCATACCCTAATTTCAACTGGGAAGTCGGCTACTGCTCATCCCTATTTGAGGGATATGTCTATGCAGCCCGGCTGTGCTCTGTTCACCACGTCATGCTGCATCCTGGTTTCAGATGAGACTTTGTCTGCTTCTTGGCCCATGTGCAGGAGATGATGAAAATGAGGGAGGACAAGTTACGTTATCTCCAGCGCCTCCGTGACACTCCAAGGGACCAGCTGGTCCTGCTGGATAGAGAGATCCAGGCCCTGAATGGCTGCCACCGCCAATTGTTGCATGACTCCACTCGCCATGCAAAGCGTGTGGAGGACGTGAAGCAACAGCTGAGCCGCACAAAGGCCACGTTGCTCACGCAAATCAAGAGTGGACCGCAACTGATCGCAGAGGCTTTTCTGCATCACTGCGTCCTACCAAGGCTGCGCGTGGGGCCCCTTGAAGCCTATTTCTGTTTCCACTTTGTCATGTTGATGAATGAGCTGCAAGTGCCTGGTTTCAGAACAATTCTGGTGTTTGACAAGCTGGTAAAGGAGATCGTGCCGTGCATGGCCAACATGACTGACCAGGAAGCAACAGCTCTTGGTGTGCTGTTGGAAAAGGTTTTTGGAGTCATGGAGCGGTGGCGGGTAAGAAGGCATGCCAGTGATGTCTCTTCAGGTTCCAGTTACTGGGCTGAGGGTAGAACACAGTGTCTAAACATGGAGAATATCTTGCTCAACCCAGTTTGGTCGTGGTAGCTGCAGGTTAGCAGTATGATACTTCTCTGAGAGGTTGCTGTGGATACATGGATTCATATTCTTTGTGGCATTTCACAAAGATCTGCACTTCCAGAGGATTTGATTAGGCTAGCTCAAGCCAGCTTGTGAGCAGCAAGATGTGCCGTTGGAACTCAGGCTTTTGGTGGCAGAACCCTGCAGCAAACGCCATCACAAGAGTGTCTGAATGTAGCTGTATCTTGCTTGCTGATTCAACTGCTCTTCCCCATCTGTATTGCTGTGTTGAGATTGTTGTTGTTCCTTTTGGATTGGCAGAACGATGAGAGTTTGTTCAACAAAGAGTGCTCGATTTCAAACACGGACAACAAAGTATCGCGTGAGCATTACCTGACCATAAACTGGCGATGGCAATACCGTCTGGCGAAACAGCTGACTGCTTACTTGAAAGAGGAGCAGTATGTACTGAAGCACAATGCCCTGCTGGTGGCCATGAAGATTGTCAAGGTCAGTTGCTATTAGAGGCTAGCTGACAAAGGCACAGCTGTCATTGTACCTGCGGGATGTGTGTAACCTGCAAAGTCCTTGAAGAGCTTAGGCGAGGGTAGGCTTGTACCCTGACTTTCAGTTTGTGTGCCTGCATGAAAACTCGATCAATTCTATGTGCAGTGCTGAGCATGTTGTTGGTGTATCCACTGCTCACATTAAGCAACATTAGTGGAGGTTTTGGGCTGCCACTGATGCCATGGGTGAAGCTGAGCAGATGCCAAGCAGGATGTTGTTCCCTCCTTTGAATGTGGAAGAAACTGTATTATGCAATAGGCATCCCCATGCGAACAGGGTGCTTGAATGTGTTGCTAATGCTGTGAAAAATGAGGGTGCAGGAGGGTGTTTAAGTTTGAAGAGTACCACTGTGGTGTTGATTGGTTGGCTCTTTTTCATGTCAGGCCACTCCTGTGGATGTGGGTGTTTGATATTCTGTGAACTAGTTTTCAGGTTGTTCAGCTATGGAATCTGACCCTGCCTCAATATCGCTATTCCGTAGTGACATGCAAGATAACCACTGTGTCTTGTGCTGGTGTCTGTAAGGAAGTACTTGTTTCTGTTTCCAGGTGTTTCCCAGGATCAAAGGGGTTGCTCCTCACTTGAGGGAGGCAGCAGAGGAAGTTCGAAACAAGGATGAGAGGAAGGACCTGAAGACGCAGGCCACGAGGTACGTTGGTGCGTTGGATGCGGAGGCTGCACGTCCTAACCGGATGGTGGAGATCCATTTATTTGGAGGGGCTCCTGCAGATAGGCTGGAGCAGGTTCGGCGACAAACAGATGCCAGCGGCAATGGGGCACAGGTGGGAAATTGGCTGACATGCACATGCATTGGAAATGTGTATGGGGGTGCATGGGTGGCTGGGGTGGTTGGGAGGAGGGCGTTCGTAGGTTTGATTTCTGTTGTGCTTGTTTGGCAAGGCACGCATTTGATTCTTTTTGACCCACTCCTATGGTTGGGTACAAAATCTGTCGAGACTGTGAGGTGCAGACGAGTGCCATAGCACTGATCTGTGTCCATGGTGTGAATTAGTTCCTTATCTATGTTTTATCCTGTTGTGTGCTGGGTGCCTTCACCTTGGCATGTGCAATGGAAGGCAGCTGTCGCTACCCCATGGTTGTTTAATCCCAGATGGGCAGTTTCAAAAGCCCAGGGACATTTGTGTAGTTGCAGAACACCCAGTATCGACTGGGTCCGTGCAATGGCCAGTGGTGTGCTGTGTGACAACAAAGCACAATCATTTGCAGATTGTTTGCGGGTGCCAGGAATTCAGCGAATATATGCCTTCCTTTGTGACAGCACTTATCTTTTAATGATGGTTCCCCTCTGTTGGATGCAGACGTCTGGTATGGGATATATGGAGGATGTGGCAGTCGCCAACGGTCAACAGTCCAGGAGTAGAGGAAAGAGAAAAGCTGACGAAGCAACATCTGACGAGCAAAAGAAAAAAACTCGAAAGGCAGAGGTGGGTGGAATGTGTACAGCTGTTGGTGGTTGCATTTCATTCTATTGGCAAAAAGCGATTGGGAAAGTTCACGGCTGTATTGTATCCGGCCCATTGTGTGTGCAGGGTGTTTGCTGCAACTTAAGTCTTGCAAGAAATGTGTTATTTGGACAATAACCAGGCTGTGCAATGTGCACCCCCGTTTAAACGGCAACTGTTAAGTGAGACTCTTGTCCATCCTCCGAAAGGTTGCGCAACAAGAGTCCTTGAGTGTGGTCTCATTGCTTGTCATGGATGGATGTACTCTGGGCCACAAAACAAATTGAACGTAACACAACCTACACTTTCTGTTGTTGTGTGCACAGGGACCTTCCAGGCGATGAGTGTGTGGTCAACACGTTCATTCTGCTGCTCGATACAAACAATTGATTTTGGGGGCCAATCTGGGAAGATTGCAAATGTAGCACTATTGTGTAATGATATTGCAGTTTACTAGACAGCTGACCCTCCTCCGAATAGCACATTGACGACAAGTTTTGCCATGCCTATGTTGTGTTGGTGTGTGGAAACGCATTAGCTGCAGATTCAAAACATCCACAAGTAAGCAGCCAGGCCAGGAGACATAATGCAACGGGAGGTTGGTGCTGTGCACAACAGTACCTCAAGCAACAAACCCACGTGCTGTCATTTCGCACGGGTACAAAACAGATTCTCTGTGAGCGAGTGTGACATTCCAGTATCTAGGGTGACATGCCAGGGTGGTATCCATGGAGTAGTTCAAGATGAGGTCATTCGCTCATGCGAAGTGAGGGACATCTCACATCTGTTCCTTGTTGGTAGTGGACTGCAGCGCAATAATGACCAAAATTCTGCAGGTCCCAAAATCTATGCAATACTGTACTGCGATTTACTGAAGACACAACAGCAGTGTACAGTACAGGAAGGAGCGAGTATGGCAGGTGAGACTCAATTAAACCGGTCAATGTTGCCTTGGGACTCAGGTCAGCCTTGCAGCAACACCATTTCAGGGGCCAGGTCATGAGAACCCAGATACACCAGGAGGGAGGTTGAAACTGAAACAGACTGAATTGGGAAAGAAGGGGCATTCAATATTGTGAGACTTTATTATGTGTTTGGTTGGACAGCTGGAAAGATAACGAGGCGCAGGCGATTGTTCCTTTGCATGACGAAACTGAAATTAACTATTCTGTGAATGGGGATTTTGCAGTTGGGTGGGTTGTCGCGATGTTTTGAATTGGCAGCTACTTTTGAATTGTTATTTCAGGTCCCACCCTTTTGTTTCTGGCCATCGACTACTTTTGTTTAGTCCAAAACATTCAACGAGGGCCGCTGGCAGGTTGATACTCTTGGAGTTTTTCAGGCGTCCTTTTTTCTTTTTTGGGGGGGGGGAGAGGGGCTGGCTGTTGCCCGCTATTTTGGCATCCCTCTCGGTCCCCACCCTATGTTGTTTCCATTCCGTCCTGCCCACCCGGCGGAAGCGAAGGTGGAGTTCTGTCAGATGTGGTTTTGGTGCAGGAGTATGGGATTAGGGGCCGAATTCAGGATTGAGTCGTAGTTAAGTCGTTCACCGCGAGGCGAACGGGTTGAGATGGGATGCTGGCTGACACCATCCGAGTACGTGTCGTTTAAGGGTCCTTCCATGCATGGGGAACGCATGTGCGTGCATGCCTTCCTGTACATGTCCACACGCATGTACATTCGTACACGTACATGTGAACACATGCGGGTCCAGGAGACCGATAAGGCAGAGTTTTTATACCTACCGGTCTTCAGGTAGGATAGAAAAGTTTTCGACCAACAGGGAGGCAGGAACAGGGTTGTAGCATCCACACAAAACACAAGGAAAACAAGGAAACCTGGGAAACATGGGTGGAGAAAAAGGAAAGATTAAAATGTGCCCCAAAGGCGGTGGTTGTACCTCAGTGTGGCGTCCAACCGTTGCCCCCCCCTTCCACCTCCTGGGCGCCCGCAGCCCCTCGCACGGCCACCTTAAAGAGCCCAGGACACGGCTGTCCTCCCTCTCCTAGGCCCCCCCTCCCGGTCCCCTTCCACCCGCCTCCCCCAGGGTCGCCGCCCGCCGGCAGGGAGCACCCCAAAGATGGCTGAGCTGGCGACGCTTCGCACGGCGAAGACGGCCCTGGACGAGGGCCTGATCAGCAAGGAGGACTTCGAGGTGGTGAAGGCGGGCTTCGTCAAGGCCCAGCAGATCAAGGCCGGCCTGGACGCGGGCTTCATCAAGGAGGAGGACCTCACCCAGGTCAAGGACACGTTCTTCCACTCCCTGGACATGCAGGTCCCGGGATGCGGCCAGCCCGGCGCTGGGGCGGGCCCTACCGCGGCTGCCGCGCGCCAGGCCGCGCAGAAGCGCGGGATCGGCAGCGCAGCGATCGGCGGGGCGGCGTCCAGGCCCGCCGCCGGGGCCAACTCATCAGCGGCCGCGGCGCCCGTGGCCAAGGCGCCAGCGGCCAGGGCGGCGCCCCCACCACCGCCCGCGGCGCCTGCCAAGCCCGCGCCGGCGCCCAAGGCGAATTCACTGACCGAGTCCAAGGGGAGCGCGACGGCGGGGAAGGTAGGCTGCGCGGGGGATGGCGGGAGATTCGCGGCGCCGTTGGGTGCGCCCCCGGAAGCAGGAGGGACACTTGGGCGCGGTGCCACCTGTTCAGGGCATTGGGGCGGATGGTGGTTGGGTTGATGCTGGGAGGTGCGTGTTGGAGGCAGACAATGGCCCTTTATGTGTGGCCGGAGCAGTGCGCTGAGGGCAGCGTGAGGCGCGCGTGCGGCGCTGCGAAGATGGCGGGGATTGGATGCGTGTTGGCCCTCGCCTGTGGCTGCGCCCGTCGTGGCTTTGTGTGCGCGCCCCGAGGCTCGCGAGCGACGCTTCTGGATCACGTTTGTGAGCTTTCTGAAGCCTGAGGGCAGAATGGCATGTGATGCGAGTTTTGGCGCTGTTCAGGTGTCCATGAGCGGCATTGCCGTTGAAGACAGTGCAGTGCAGGAGTACAAACTCATGAAGGGAAGGAAGACGGTGAGAACGGGACGCATTGGTGCCCAGTGCAGCCTGGATGCATTGATCTTGTGTAAACGCTCCCAGGATCTCGGTCTCGTCTGACCCTGGAACAATGGTGATGATTTATTTCCTTGCCTCCTTGGTTAAGATCCTTGGCCATCACTAGGCATAAACGGAGTCTTGCACCTTGTGGGAGATCATGGACATAGAAGCAGTCAAGAACGATAATTGGTTCCCCATTCTTTCATATGGGTAGACATGCCCCCACTCACCAGTTGATTTGCAACACACATAGGCAGTGACCTTGCGGTGTGTTGAATCCATTCTGAACAACATGTGGTGTGTGTGATGCAGTACTCCTGGATGACGTTCAAGATCAATGCTGAGGGGACCACGGTGAGTAGGCTTCATTGGTTTCGTTGGTTCGCATTTGACATCGCTGTTGCTGCTATGAAGACAGCACATCCAAGACTGGTTTGTTAGAAAAGCTGTCAGTCTCAAAGTACATTGACAACGTTCATTGAACGTTCCAAAGCAATGGATGCCCACACTCGCGGCTTTGTGCTTGTAGGTTGTTCTGGGAGACACTGGTGGTCCAGAATCGACCTTTGAGGAATTTACTGCGAATCTTCCAGAAGATGAATGCAGATATGCAGGTTGGTGTGCTGGAGAAGAGTCAATTCAGGTTTCAAGCCAGGACAGATCTGTGCAGTCGCATTTCATGATTGGATGGAAGGATCCCAACAGCTATGTATGGACTCCATCTGGGATAAAAGAAACGTTGCAACAGCTGCTTGCGAATTTCGTGCACTACAAAATCGATGCTGACAGTTGCTTTACTGTCCTCAGTGCTTGACTACCACTACGAGGCAAACGAGAATCGCTCCTTTGACAAATTGGTATTCGTCAACTGGTGAGTGACTCTCCCATGAGATCTGCGCAGCTGTAGTTTTGGTGCTCGTGTGAACTTGGCCTTCAGTTCTATGACTTGTGGTTGTAAAAATAGCTATGGCAGTCTAAGCCCTTCCATCTTCCAGGCCATGCTGTGACCACGAAAATCTTAGCGCAACTGTTCAATGTCCCAAGATCATCACACTGTACACCATCCAATATTTGTTCCCTTTTGGAAGCATGTCCCAACGGATGGCTGATAGAGCAGCAAGTCATGAAGATGGCCGATCGTGAGCGTTAAGCTACCTTAACGGGGACTGCCAATCAGGTCTTGGGGCAATGTGCTGCAGTCTTCTGCACTTGGATATGTTGGGGTAGACTATTTTCTTGATTTCCTTTTATCAAATCATTGGTGCATAGTCGTTCTCTAGGCCAAGGACCCAAGGGTATCTAATTCATTCGATCCATGTTTGATGCAAAGAAAAAATCATACAAATGATGTATCCAAAAATGCCATAACTATGGTTGGGAGTCAAGGACGATGGCACATGGGCCCCTATACTGGAGACATGTTTGGTTCCCAGGGCCCCTTACAGCTGGAGCTGCCTTGTTAGTAGATTCCTGCCACATTCATGAAAATGACAAGACATGTGTCTACATGTATGGCTGCGTCGATGCAGTCTGTGCATGTGTTGTCCAATTCAAGATGTGAGATGGGAGAGTTTTCGTAATTTAGGGCACCCAACAATTCCACAGTGAAGCAGAAGATGATGATGGCCTCAACCAAGGATTTCTTCAAGGGGTTCCTGGAGGGCATCCAAATTGAAATTCAGGCTGCAGACTTGGACGACATCACTATCGAGGAAATTAATGACGCTGTGAAGGCGAGCCTTACGAGAAAGTGACGCCACTTGACGAAGGCCGGTGGGGCGATCGCAGTGTTTAGCTGTAGAGAAAGCCACAATTTTGCGGGATCGATTGATGAAATGTCTTGGGAGCGAGAATGCCATCTTTCTGAGGTGGGTGCTAGGGAGACAACAACAATACATGGGCGTGGCATCTGGAATTGTCTGCAATTTTTTGGTACAGTAATTCCTGGCGCAATAGGCAGCAGAGCATTGATCAAGTGGGGCATGTTTTGCCCGTCAAGAAGGGCGTGACCACTAGGACGCCGGAGATTTCAGCAAACCAGCACAGTGGCATCACCTGTGAAGGGGGTTTGTGTGCAGATGCTTGCTCCTTGGGGAAGACTCCATGCAGCATCATGTTTGGATTGCAAGGGCGCTGCTGTTGGGCTCTCACGATCTTTCAATGAACATTTTGCACAGTCGCAGTCTTGCCTGCGCACATGGAAGCCAAATGCACACTGGGGAATAGGCGCAAGATGTAATATTTGGGAAATGAAATTCGCCTGTGCGAGAGTCCTAGTGTTGCCAAAGGTTCCGCATCGGTGGAAGCATGTCGCTCATTCCATGCGACTAAAAACACTAGTTGCTTTGTGGCCAGACACAGGCAGCTGTCATCTCCCTTTGATTGGAAGCTGTTGTGCTTTTGGGAATGCCTCCATAAGCGATGGTTCCGGATTTCTTGCCTGGCGGGCGCGTGCTGATGGCACTCTTTGAATGTTTTGCGACCATCCTTTGTCACCTTGAGAAACTGGACCACACAAGACGTCCAGAAAAGTCCATCGAGTAGTCCTGTTTGTGCTGCAGTGTTCGAGGTGCTCTGGATCTTCTGTGGGCGAAAATGGCTTTGCTTCAGGAAGCATTGCCCGTTCCATCGATCATATGTACAGTTTGTTCGGGAACGTGGGTGCTCGCGATGCCCCGTGTCCACCCATAGATAGTCGCACCTCCTGCGTGTCATCACCATGGCTATTGGTGCCAGTTTGATCCTTGGAGCTGATTGGCGGTTCTTCAACCTGGCATCCCAGCGGCACCGTTCTTGCCCTCGTCTCGCCAGGTCCTCTCTTGGCCCACCTCCTGTGTGATAACAGGAACGCGCCATTCCCAAAGACACTTGTCCCATCCTTCTGGCATGCCCAAGCGGCGTGCATGAACGCCGGCTGTTGCTCAGCAAGCGAGCATCTGCTGGACGACTCCGCATCAGTGCAGGCCACACTCTCCGCTCGTTGGAAGGTCAAGGAGGCAAGGCTTGGTTTGCGATTTGACGAACACTGCCCCAAACAGGCAGCTCTTTTGGCGAGGAGGGGCGAATACGGACATGCCTGGACCTGCTCGGATGGCGCTGGACTTATTTTTTTTCACAGGAGTGCGTAAGGGGGCGGGGTCAAGAGTCCTTTTTTCGCCCACGAAACTGGGCCATGCAGCCTAACGCCCGTGTCCCAGTTCTTTCCAGTTCGCCCAGGCGTGGCAACCCGCGAGGGGGGGGGCCAACAGCTTGTCCCAAAAGGTGCCTTCGGACCTCGTGCCGGCCGTGACACCTGCCGGCGCGAGTGCTGGCGCAGTCCCAGGTGCTGAGACGCATCCCACTGCCACCCGCGATCCGAAAACGCAGCCGGCATTTTGCTGTTTCTGTTGGTGCCCTGGGACCGCTTGAAGGGCGGCCCCCAATCCTGAAACCCGCTGCCGAGGCCCACGGGCTGCCAGGAACCCCCCACGCATGAGCCAGCCGCCTCGCGACTCCCTCGCCTCGAGGCTGGCGCGGGAGACGGGCGCCAGCGAGGCGCTGGCTAGGGCATCTTTGGACAGGGAGGGGGGCGATTTCGGCAGGGCGGCGGAGGCCATCAGGTCCGGTCAGGGCGATGGGCGCGCGGGGGGTTCGGGCAGAGATGGGCTCGGGGTGCAGGAGGGCGTCAGGCAGTTCATGGCGCTGACTGGATCCCGCGACGAGGGGCACGCGAGGTTCTGCCTGGAGGCCTGCAGCGGAAACCTGGAGAGGGCTGTCAACATGTACATGTCAGGTTGGGAAAGTGGCCCCTGGCGTGATTGTGTGGAATGTTGGCGGGCGGGCGGGATAGGGGAGGGGGCCGCGGCGCCAATGCTGATTTCGACGGCAGATGATTCCCCTGGGGGAGCCAGCAGTAAACCGACTGCTTCGGCAGGGTGATCACGCGCTGGGGGCCAATCGGACGCAGTCGCGATTATTGAAGTGAGGGCCTTGCTCGCGGGATTTGGGTTTGCCGCTGGCCACCGCCTGGTGCCGTGTTGCCCGGGTACTAACCCCAGATGACTTGGCCAATCGCGTGGGTCACCCAGCGCCGTGCTGCGCTGCTGGGGTGGGCAGGCATGTGCGATGTGTGCTTGCGTTCGATAGCTGCAAATACTGAAACCGAGGGTCAGGTTGCTACTGTCGTTGCTGATTAGTTGATTGGTTGATCAATCAATCGATCCATCGATTAACGGACTGATTAATTGATTGATAACCTGTTTATCACTTGAGAGTGAAAAAGAATAAATCACAGCAGGAAACAAATGTAAGACGGGCCCTTCTGCAGGGACCGTGAATCTGTAGTCGAATGTCCATGTCTCCTCTGAGTGCAACGGCTCATACCCACCAGGACCATTTTTATCAAGATGTAACAGGAATGCCAGAGATGTGTACGCTTCAGCGATGTGGACGTTGTTCATTAACTCTTGTTCTACACCATGCAAATGCTACTTTCGATTCCATCGTTGACAGTTCATCCCTCCAAGCTCAATAAATCACCAGCGTGCAGAAAGCATATGCAATTTCTTTGCTCAACTCCTCATTCAACACTTTTGGACAGGCTGTGGGAAACTCCCTCAAATCTTCATCCCAAAGTCCACACAAGCGACCAATTCCAAGTGTGGTGTTCAGAGTGTATAAATTGGATTTCTGTGTTCAGCTGCTGCCATACAAACTCGAAATGTCGACATTGAATGGCCATCTACTGTTTCATCACTGGGTGGTTGCTGATATGATGTCAGGATGCATCAACACTGGAGAGTGGTGTACTTTTATGCACATCCTCAAGTGCAAATCTTGTTCCCTGATGGTGGCTGATATTGTCTGTCTGCATTTGTTTGTGTCACATTGTTAACAAACATGCACTCGTAGTACATCCAGGGTTTGGGAGCGATGAGGCTGTATAAGCCACACCTAGCAGGTTTCTCAGCAACTTGGCACCAAGCTAGGTCCACATGAGGAAAAGGTAAAGTTCCCCTTGTCATATTGTTGAAGGCTGGCCTTATGAGAAGGAACGAACATGCGCAGGCATCCCCCTGGTCTAGGATGTGCATGAATTCCATTTGTTGCAATTGTCCAAAAGACATGACAAGACAAGGTCCTTGCACGTGGAGTGATGGTGAGGGGGACAGGAACAACCAGGCCCTGTTGTTGTGATGTGTGAAAATTCCCTGTTCTGCTGATGCAGAATTGGCAGATCCAGGTGACATTCAGGAGCACCAGAGCCTGCTGTCTGCGTCCAGGGGGGATCAAGCTGCTGGCAGCAATAGCAGAGGATCAGATATGGGAAATGGTGCTGCGTCAAACTCCTTTGCCAGCCTCCTGGGTGGGCTGATGCGGCTGCCATTCACCCTCTTACGCAAGGCGTTGGGGCTTGTGCATTCGGTTATGATGTCCACTGTCTTTGCACCCTGGTCAAGGAGACTAAGATTGAGAGGTAGGCAATATGCAGCCATCGCTTGACAGCATGCACCAACAGGCCCAACGTTAATTTAAGTGTATTCGATGGGCTCCTGTTTGCAGCTGACCTTGGTGGGAGCTGTCCTAAGCAATTGAGCAGCCAAGATATCTCACCTGCTGTCACCTGCCCTTTTCTTGAGAAACCACATCTGCACATGGTTTTGGAGAAGGGTACACAGCCGTTGGAGCAAAATTGATTTGGAGGAATGTTTGATGGTGTGTCCATACCTCAACATTCCATGATTCTATCTCGCCAGACAGCAGAGGCAACAGAGCTGCAATTGGCCATGTCTCTTCGCAAAGTTCAGTTCCAGCAAATGGATATGCTAAATTGTTTTGCCGATTGTTCAGATGACTATCAACGAAGCCATGCTGAAGAAAATTCTGTATGCCAAGCACGCCAGTTCAGCGACAGGTTCGAGTTCCTTTATGGATCTCAGCATCCTCCTTTTGTCGATCAGAGTTGGAGAGATGCTGCTGCACGGGCTCATCGAGAGCTCAAGTTCCTTTGGGTGTACGTGCATGCCCCAGAGCACGAGGTGTGGCTGCCGCATTTCCTGCTTGTCATGCTGTTCCAAGTGCAGTTGCTTAGTTTTTCAAGCAAGGCCTACACTGGAGAACCGTCCTCTCACACCACAGCCAGTTGCTGTGCCATGATTTTGCGATTCTGTTTTATGATTTTGTCATGCTGTGTGCCAATGGCATCTTTTTGCACTGTGTGCAGGATACAGACAGCTTTTGCCGTGAGGTGCTCTGTGCTCCAGAAGTGATTGCCTTCCTTTCAGAAAATTTCGTTTGCTGGGGAGGCGATGTAAGGCAGAGCGAGGCATTCAAGGTAGGCGACTGACATTTCAATCCCACCAGCTTGGTAAATTCCAGTTTGTGGCCAGTTCCTTTTGACATGGGTTGGGCTACGTTCTCCGGTGCCTGTATATGGTAGGCAGTGGCATGTTCCCACTCTTGTTGTGGTTCGTCCTCCATTGGCAAGGCAGCCCATTTGCATGGAAAATGCCCAGGCACAATGTACAGAGTGGTGCAGCTGTGACTCAGGCAGAGGTGATCTGAGCACCCAAAGCACTTGTACATGTGGCGCAGTGTCTGTCCTGAATATACTTCTTGCTAGCTATGACGGACTTGCTCTTTGTTACCTTTGTGTTTCAAACAGGGCTGTACGTTGGTGTGTAAGTGGGTGTGGACTTCTGTCTTCTTTTGTTTGTGTCGCTTCTCAGCCACTGCATGCAGTGAATGCAGGCAGCGTGCACTGGAACTTGACCTCATCAGCCACGCAACACCAATCGCATTTATGGACTTCGTTTTCGTGTTTGGAGCGCACTTTGACAGCGTGTGCACCTGCAGCTTGCAGCTTCTCTGGGCGCCACTACCTACCCCTTCATGTGCCTGCTGGCCTTTTCTGGATCACGCATGCACCCAGTGAGCTCGATGCAGGGTTTTCTGTCATCAAGGCAACTCATCAACTCGATACAGCAGGCCCTCGACGAGCAAGGAGCCTTGCTGGTGGCTGAGAGGATTGACAGGGAGAGAAGGGTAGGACCACGGCTCCAGACTCGCCGAGGACATGTTCAGACGAAAGCATTCTTGGCCTTGCCTGCATATCTTGAGCAGTGTGTGCATGTGCGTCTCTGGCTCACAGTTCTGGTGGCTGGTCCTTCTGTGCAGCTCGTTGTTTCACCCTAATGGTTTGGGCGCCAGCAGTGGAGGTCACTCGAATGCGCAACTCAGATAATGCACGCTTCCACACATTTTGTGAGGAATCGTTTGCCTGTGAAATGGCACACATTCCCTGCATTAAAGAGCAGAAACCACGGCTGACTGTCGTCCTGTATATTGGACCCTTGTAGAGCATGTCATCTCACTACCGTTTATTTCGAACGCTGAGCATGTGCCAGTCGGCTTCGCGCCGTTGACAGAGTTGGCGTGTGGCCATCCATTGAAATTCGCTGCCATGAGCAGGACTACGACCGACAGCTGCGCCAGCAGCAGGACTTGGAATACGAGCGTTCTCTTGAGAATGACAAGAGGTTAGAGGCCCAGAGGAGGCAGATTCAAGCAGCAGAGGCGGCTAAACGGCAGACGGAGATGGAGGAAGAAGCCAGGAAACGGTGTGGTGGAGTGTGCAGTTGTCTGTGTTCTTTTTAAAGTCTCAAAAGTCGCCCTCTGTCAAAGTCTGTGAATTAATTTTGCTCTATTGCGTTGCACCAAGGAAGCACGTTTGAAGGGAGTGATTGCATACCCTGGCACTGCTTGGAGCTGCACCTCGCAGGTGCATTTGGTCGTCACCACACCCGAACTGTGACATGGGGAGCCTTGCCCCCAACAAACTCGTTTGCACCTTGCCTGACTTGTCACAACAAGCCAATAAGAGCATGGACAGGCACTGTGTGAAGCGCAGCCATTATCAATGTGAGGGCGACGAATATATAGCGGATAATGATGAGGCGAATGGTGTTAAATACGGTGTGATTACGCATTGTGAACACGGTGACAAATGCATGGTGAATATGGGAATGGTGGGTGACTAAATGGGGACATTTCCTGCGAACACTATATGGTTCATGTTATTGTCCTGTAATGTATCTGCTTGCGGCCTCGCTTCCTGTGCCTGAGGAGCGACTGTGTGCGAACGTGTGTGAGGGCGTACGGTTAGCCCGATAATCAATCAGATGGACATGCGTATTATGCCACCAGTTACAGCACATTTGTGAGTCTGCATATGCATGTGCTCTGTGGCCTGCACAGCACTGCCACATGCCAAGGGCGAACACCATGCAAACTGCAACAACCTCGCCTGGGCTGTTAAAGATAAATATGCCAGTGGAAGCAAGTAACCAGTACAGCACATATACAGTGTGAATACTCCTCAGTCTTTATGTTGGGACGATTGTGGCGTTTGTGGAAGACAGCTGAGCAAGGACTGTGCCATTATGCCATCAGACAAGAAACAGAAGCTCGAGAGATGAAGGCAGAGCAGGCGGTGGCTGCCATAGAGGGTCGGAAGCAACAGAAGCGGCGAAATCTCAAGCCAGAGCCTCCTGCTGATGGCATAGTTGCTCAAATACGCATTCGAATGCTGGATGGTGGCAGCCATTTGAGGCGATTCAATTACAATGATAAGGTAGGCTATCAGGGTTTCTATGATGAGATGGTGGAGGCGTGCTTGAAACTGTATGTGCGATTGGGACACAATAGACAGTGAAATGCAAGGCTACTCTGGTTCCTGTTGTCTTGCCGTGGTGCTGCATATACAGCCTTGACCCTCACCCTTGACAGCGGCACAAGCATGATGTCACAGTACCTCGATGGCCTCGTTTTGCTTTCTGAGCAAGTTTTGAGCACTGGCGTCCTACCAGTGTGATGGCCGACGAATGTGCATTGTGGGAACTGGAGTGGCATTCACCTCATTGCCATTCAACTCACAAGTGTGCAGGTGATGCCGATGCTCAGGTCACCGCAGGGCATTTTAACCACCTTCATGTGAACACGCCCATGCTTGTGTTTGTGTTTGCCTCCAGGAATTTCAACTTTATCAGATACTGACAATAGCCAAGTGTGTAACAACAAAACACTGCTACGTTGTTCCCTGGGTATGTTCTATCCATTCGGGGGCAATGCAATGGACAAGGAATTGTGATTTACATTTGGCAGCGCTGTTGCATGCACAACAGTTAGCAAGCTGCAGCAACACCCTGTCCCGCATTCTTCTTATACTTTTTGATGCTTGAAAAGTGCACTTCTGGCACAGGTGCAGGACATCTTCGACTACGTTGATACCCTTGAGGGCCTGGGGGTGCTGAACTACAGCCTTGTGCGAATGTTTCCAAGGAAGGCCTTTGACAAGGGCGGTCATGACCAGACGCTGGTCGAAGCTGGTCTTGTCCCGGACAGTCTGCTGCTGGTGAAGTCAGATGACGAATAGGAAGTGTGGTCCAAGTTGACATGGCGCCACGGCTCAAGCGAGAAACGCTCAAGATGGGCAGGTCATCTCAAGAGTTCCAGCATCTTGGTGATGTCCTTTAGAGGTGAAATGTTAGGCGGATGTGCACTAGGGTGCTGTTAATTTCTCTTGACGTGTACGAATGGACCTTGAATTGCCTGGGCATCAGCTGATCACTGTGATTCACCCATCACTGCTTTGAGTACTTCCCATTGTGCCATCAGGCACTGCCTGCACTCTTTCATTGAAATTGCGATTTGCCAGTCCAGGGATGTTGCTGTGCACCCTGTATTACCAACAGCCTGTGATGTTATGAATCTAAAATGCTCTGTTCAAGGACAAGTATGCCTGTGCCCTGCCGTGATAACCCTGGATTGCGACATCAGCAGAAGACGTGAAGATACAAATTCATTATGTGTTCATGCGTATGGTGCCACGTGCAGGAATCCTTCAAACTTGCACTGATACTGGTGAACCAAACTCTCCAAATGCTGCCAGAGCAGTTTTGCTGGTTGCTGGCGATGGGCTATACACAGGTCAACTTTTGGAACCAGGATTGACAACTATAATTTGATGGTGAGTTGTGTGCGCACAATATTCCATTCGCTATGAAAGAGTACAAGGGCAGAGGCAGTATTGTCTGCTGCAGAACATACTCTCTTGGACAATATATGGATTGGACCACGGTTGCCATTTCCTTGCATGCGCAAGGGCATTGTTTTTTCATATTGCAGCAAACAAAAAAACACATGTTATCCAACGGATTGATGCACATTGAAAATGACGGCCACACTGTATCCCCAGAAATGTGTTATGTTGGGTAAATTCCTTTCTGCACTTAGAGACTTTACATGATCATCAGCAGAACGAAAAGTCATGGTGCACATTGCTTGATGTGCTTGGCTCTGAACATCTCGCATTGAAAGACCAAAGGAACATATGGACTGTCTCTGCCTCCATCAGCACACCTCCAACTTGCCTTGAACGCACACAAGTGTTTCTCTGCGACTTGCAAGGCATGAAGACGGTTTCAGCACCATCCTCCCTGGACAGGATTCATTGGATCCCTTGCATTTCAGCACTGCCATCGACTGCTTCAAGCGATCCCATCCTCCATGAAACCATCGTACGTTGACTTGCCCTCTGCAAGCAGGCAGGTAACAATACTGTAACACTGTGATGTGTGGCAATTGGACACTTTAGTCATTCAGGTGGCAGCACCCCCACACCTGCTGTCTCCGCCACAACACAGCACAACCAGGAGCACCTTGCATTCTGTCCTTAACATGTTCCACAGAGTGCTGCAACGCTTTTCCGGGAGCACACCGCCCAACACTCAGCACGTGGGCTCATTCTATTCTATTTATGGGAATAACATAAGCGAATATGACCTAAAGGTTGAGGGGAAAAGTGCAGGACACATAATATGTGCCTACAACATATGCAGTGTGCAGCTAATAATAGGCGATCCATACTGCTGCGAAATGTTTGGAGGCTGTTTGGCTCCAAGAAGCAATCGTCAAGGCTGGCTTATCTGTGGTGGTAGTTCAATGGACACAAACAGAGTTCCCCAAATCAGTTTGCACAATGCCTTGTTGAAATGCCCCGCTTCTCAATAGAATGTAAAATGGTGGAGCACAAGCTATAATCAGGAATGGAAAAGTGGATAAAGGCTGTCTATGGTAACCATGGCACCAGGGACACCGCCAACAACATTTGCATCACCACTAACATCACATAATCTCCATATTATACAACACGATGGGATGACCCTGCAACTCGAATCGGCCAGGAGACAGGCACATGAGTATGCACGCGAATTCGTATTGTCTTTGAATCAAGCGCACAGCTGCTGTCCAACCATCCTTGTAGCCCATCGCATGTTGTGGCCAGCAAGTCCCCAATGGGCACTGCCCACTGGTGCAGGCTGATCAGTTACACACGCACCTTCATCTAGAAGACCCAGGTCCCTCAGCCGCCGCTCAGCATAATAATCCAGTTTGCTCAGATCAAACTTCCTCTGTTCAAATTGTTCGAGTGTTGCTCGTACACCTTCTTGCTCCCCTAGACGAATCTAGAAAAGGAAGGAGCAAAAATTCAGCTGGAGATCACACTGAGCGAATGGCATTTTCCTTCACCCAGCATGCTATCCCCTCAAGTGCTATACACAACTGTATTGTTCTCCAGAAACGTCGACAGCACAGGCGTGCGTGCTGCACTCATTCAGGTTTCTCCTTTTACTGCAGCATGCCAGTAGCTTGCAATGGCGGCACATTTGAGGTCAAGGAGCATTTACTTAATTGCCTGTTATGCACTTGTTTGCTGCCAGTAGCATGCACAACTGCAAGTCAAAGCGATGAGAATCCAAAGCAATCACTCCAAACTATTCCAACATGGTATGAGCGAACACATGGACCTAATGCTCACAAGAGAACATCCTCAGACATACGCAGATGCAGCAAGACCACAATCAGAACACTGGTGTTTGGTCATATGTTCAATCAGATGTTCAGGACAATGGTAGAGACAAGCATCCCACACCTGCGCTGCCAGGACTTCTTCGATGGCTGCTCCTCTCCTTGACAGAATGGCCCTGTCACTTGAAGGGTTCGTTTTGTACTGGCCCAAAGCATCCCGGCACCCAGCGATCATTGTGTCACAGATCGTCCTTTCATTTTCCTCGCTCAGTGGAGCTAGAACATGGTTCCATGCCTCGTTCCTAAACAGAGCTTCAAGGTGGAAAGAATCAGCACCTGGGTGCAGATAGCGGCCAGAGTCAGAACAGGTATGGGAACTTGTCATCTATTGGGTGTGCAACCTCTGTCATGTATTGCGTCGACTATGAGGTCGCACACTCTCCAACACCATTGTTGCTGAGATCTCAGCCTGCTGCAGAGTGCAGCTGGGGATTGTGCATCTCATCCCCAATGGTACATAAGATGCCAGCAGCCACTGTGCTTGCTGACACTGAATACCCCACTGCATTTCGCTGGCCACGGCAGGCCATAAAGGGGTGGTCATAAATCTGCGCCACGGCTGTGCACTAAGGAAATGAACATGCACGATGCGTGATCTGCATAAGAATTCAAGCATTTCGCCCTGGCATGCAGTGTCCGGTAGCAATGACAACAATGAGCATCCTACTGAAAAAAAGTGGTGTCAAATCTGTACAAAGCAGCAGAACACAGTTGCACAGACTGGAAGCCCTTGGGGTCCACTTCATGCCCTGTTGGGGGCAGGTCAAGGAGCTAACTGCATAAGGGAGGGTACACATTGGGTGAACACCTGATCAGTTGCATGTAAGGCAAAACTGTGATGACGCTGATGGAACTGATATCCTTGACATTCCACAGGAAGCAACATGAAGTAATGCATCAAATGATCTTTTCCATCATCCCATCGATGTACAAGAAGGAGCAATATGTCTGCGACATTAAGCTGCAGTCAAAACGTCACAATCTTAGCTCCCATTGTGTTCACATGCATCAAATTCTGAAACACTGCTGGAGTCAGTATGCTGCATCGACATCACCAGAATCTAAAGCAGTGAAATGGACGCACCTGAGATATACATTAGTCGAAGGAAGGCCAGCATGTCAGTGGACAGAGGTTCATTGGGGCACAGCTTGAAGGTTGCAGACTGGCCAAACCCTGCAAGCTCCAGAATGTCTATTTTGTCGTCAAACGCAGGATCGTCCTCAGGGAGCGTCAAGGTTAAAACGTAGCCACCCTGTTTGTCCGCACGTACATAGTACGTGTTGTTACCAAATGTCAGCACACACCATCAACGTGTACAATCACACGCAGGTGCAGTCCCAGAACATGCACTCCTGCCATTTAACAGGGTTGTGGTGCCATGCCTCTTCGCAGAGCAAGGCACCACAGACATGCTAGGACTACAACACACCCTCACCCAGGAAGGCACATGGTCTGATTGGGTAGATGGTCTGAAAGATCAGGGAAAAGCAATCTGTGGCAGGGGACACAACATGTAGAGCAAACGCGTGTGGCATGAAGGATCAAAGCCGAAGTCGATGACAATTTGGCCTGTGGCAATCTTTGCTTTTGCCATTGTAGGAAAACATAGCACACCACAAAGGTTTGTGCCCCAAAGCAACCGCTGTCACCTGTACACACCTTCATTGTCCCCACATCCACCTCTCCATAGTCAAGGGCCACCTGACTGTCCAGTTTGTCTGGTCCAAAGTCAATCGACAACACCTCTTCAGAGCTAATGTTCCGCATAGCAACCAACGATAGAGATTCTCCACGCGACAGGAAACCACCTGAAGAAAGGCGCCACTCAGTGTTGGGATTACGAGAATGGCAAACCTGCCAGCATAAAGGAACTTGAGTGTTAATCAACTCGAGCCTTTCATGAGAGCCTCCACAGTGAAGGTGCAAACATGGGAGCTGGTACTAAGACCATTCCACGACAGCATGAAGAACATCACCAAAGAAGCATCTGACAACAGACTGTACCAAGATTTGGCCACTGAGAGTTCCACAGACTGGGCCCATTTTGCTGCACGAAGACAGTTGATCAGCATGCCAATCCATTTGCATGCCACTTCTGGAGCAAGGTAAATACAGCAGCAAGCCATCCTGCTCAAGGGCGTAGCCTGTTTGATTCTACAATTCAGAGCTCAACGGCTTTGTGCTGCAGGCAGACGACACCAAATGACAGCAAGAAATGATAATCATGCTTCAAGGGCACAGTAGACAATCTAAGGGAGTTCAACAGACTCAACGAGCACTACCACCCATGAGCAAAAGAGTTTTCATAACGTTGACCACCCTTGCGAGCAATTGCATTCATACTGCCCTTTCACAAATACACCTGGCACACCAAGGACAACAGCCAGGCCAACAATTTGGTCTCGAAGGCACCAAATTCCCTCAGTCATTTTAGTTTGCAACATTCCCCATCAACTCTTCTACACTTGTTCTGCAAGTTCCACTTGCTGTACTTGTTGAAGGACATGTTTTTGGTGGGGAACTGGCAAATCTGCATGGCCAACACATGTTGCCCAGACCAAAGCAAAATGAGGTTCATGATTTATGGGATTTGTGCCATCTGCTCTTGCAAATAAACTGGTATTTTGACAGCAGCCCAGCAAAATTCTCATTCAAGAGGGTTGGCATGAGTTGAGTTGGACTGTGTGTCAAAAGAATTGCAGCGCAATTGCGATCCCTTACACATCCCCCACTTCATATTCTGCTCACAATCCAAATACGCACCAACACACAACGGCTCCAAGCTCATTGCTACTGCACTAGCTGTGCCATCCTCACCAGGTCGGCCACTGGCACGAGTGCAAGGGACTCACCCTCAAGGGGTGGATGGACCTGTGCCCTCACTGTGCCCACTGCCCACTTCCATGCCTCCAAGGTGAACACGTTTGAGGGGAACAGCTCTGGGTACTTTTTGAACACACCCGCCTCCAGTTCCACAAAGCGCTGCGAAAAATACTCCCTGCCGATGCACGACCAACGCATGTAAGGTAGGCGATTTGTTGATAGGACTTCATGTCAGGGATCCACCTTCCTGTCCAAAATGCATTGGATGCCTATCCATTCCCATTCCTTCCCAATCGGGCACGGTGCAACGAGTGAACATCATCGAACCGGCGATGCAGCATGCCCCTCATAGCATCAAAGGTGCCAGGGCGGCGCTTGCTCTCTTGCATGCAACACACAGCCAAACAGATTCCTCCCTGACCAATCCCCCCACCAATCTTTGACAATGGGCACGCTGCATTGACGCTTGACGTTCTTTCGTTAGCAACCGCCTTGCCTGGTCTCGAGGCTCGCCAAATCTCCCCAAAGGTGGAGGAAAAGTGGGCTTATGCCTCGTCATTCTGTCCTGTAACAGTCTCACCTCCCCACCTCCCCACTCCCACCCCCCTCACCCCATCCAACCGTCCGCCATCATGACCTCCTCATTCCGCGAGAGCGCCCGATCACAGTCCCTCCCCCCGTACCTGTACCCCTCACACGACGCCATCAGCTGCGTGCCCGCCAGTCCCGCCAGCCTGTCCCCTTCCCAGAACACCGGCGACCTGGGCGTGGCTGGCAGGCCCTCCAGGTACGCCCTCCACCTCGAACCGCCATCCCCACGCTCCGCCACAAGCAGCAGCGCCACCTGCGCCCACGCCTCCAGCCCCTCCAGCCGCGGCCCCCACCTCCTCCGCGCGTCCTCCGCTGTCACCCACATCTCGCGCGGCACCGCCAAAATCTCATCCCCCTCAGAAATCGCGCCGCTCGCCACGAGGCTGGATCCATCCGCTTCCTCCCGCACGGCTGCCTTAGCGCCGGAGGCCTCCTGCGTCCATGAGGCGAGATCGGAGATCTGCGCCGGCGTGGCCGAGGCCGAATGGGTCGAATGGCCGCGCGCGGAGTGGCCGTGGCCGTGGATGGATGGCCTGGGGAGAGGCGCCGCGCGCGGCGGCGCGGCGCATGGCTGCCTGGGGCGGGCGGCGGCGAGTGCAACGTCGGCGGAGTTGGCGCGCAGGAGGCGGCCAGGTAGCGATTGATCGGCGAATGTCGCCATGTCTGGGTTGGCGGTGGCCCGTGGGCGGTGACGGTGGCGCGGAGGACGAGTGATGAGGAGGGACGGGAGGAGGGTCGCGGGGAGGCACCGGCTTACAGGGGAAGGCGCGCAGCGTTGCGCTGGGCTGCGGTTCCGCGCCGCGCTTGGGTTGCGTTGGTTGGTTTGGGCCCAGGGGCGCAGGGCGATGGGATCTTGTCCTTGGCGTTGTATTCGGAATGTCCTGATGTTGTTCAGGTCTACGTGTGTGAGGGCCGGGCAAAAGGGCCCCACGGCCCTATTCAATCCCACAACTATGGCTGTCATCCGCGGCAGCATGTCGAGCCCCTGCAGTTGCTGTTGCAGTTGCGAGCTGCTGCAGCTGGCGCTGCCGCTGCGGTCGTTGTGGAAACCAATGGCATTCGTTAAATCCGACCCGACCTTTGCCATTTACACTGGCGGCTTCACTTCACTCCGAGAAATGTTGCAGATCGCATCTTCGCCGTAGGGGGGCGGTGCCGACCATGGAACTCAACAAAGCGCGGTGTTGATGGCGATGGTTGTTCATCCAAGAAATGTTGTAATATTCTTACTGTGCCTGCCTTGACATTTAAAACATCAAGGCAAGGAGGGTGGCGGCTATCACAATCATCAACAAGAAATAAATGGCAAATTGTAGCGGAAATTGTGGAATTGTATGGCAAGGCAAGGATGTAGCGGTCAGTTACCTCTGTTGGCCGAGCAAGGTGGTGTTGATGATTTGTTCGATGACTCCAATGCATAACAGAAACAAAATTCAGTATCCATCAATTCCTAATTTTGCGAGAAGTGTTTGTTGATGATAATGCATTACCAGAAGCGTTTTTACCAGTGAGCGAGCCAAGCAGGGGTGAAGAATTTTTCGGCTCTGCAATTTCAAAAGTCTCGGTGGGCGTCGACCCATGCCATCGTGGGCGCGGCGGTGAAAAAGAAAATCAAGCCGATCTGCCAATACAAACGGTTTCTGCCATTTTTGCAAACAATCTATTCGAGGGCGTTTCTCCTACAATTTCGCTGTGGGGTTCACGTTCCGAGCATCGTATCGAGCAGCAACGATCTCAAGAACGTCAATCTATTCCGGACTTCTCAAGGCGATTGTGTCCATTACGTCATTCAACTCCAGAAATTGAGATACATTTTCTCTTTCACTGCGGTTCCTATGATGACAATCGCCAAAGTCGATCAAGTCTATTTCGACAATGGAATGCAAAACTTTAAAAAATTTTGCAAGAATTTTGCTTCTGGCCCCGCTCGCCAACTGGCGGAAACACTTCTTCCCATATATTGTCGTCGACAAACACGACTTAATTATAGGAACGGATGGATATCTGGACTTTTTTTGTGCTGTACATTAGATTTGAATGAAAAAATCTTGGACACTGCCTCGCTTAAGCAAATAGGAAGCTGACGTCGCCCTGCTTGAACGCCATGGTGAAAGAGAAATTCATCTCATTTTCCGGATCTCAGATCACGCCCCATTGCGCACATTCGTCCCAAGTGTCCTCGCCATGTCCAATTTGCGCTGAACCCAGGCTGGCGATCCAAATGCACATGCCCTGAGAAAACGCGGAGGGCATTTTCCCCACCTCTCTCTGTTGACCAGTCAAACACGTTGACGAATGGGGGCCTCGACTGCCCCGGATTCAGTCAGCACTCCAGGAGCAGGAAACTCAATGCACATGCAGGCAGCTGTCACAGACATGCCAAGTTTTTAAAGGGCGCCCGCCCGCCCTGAAATGCTCCCATAGGCCAACAATTGTGCACCGTCGGGGCTGCCTATGGCGACGGCGGGGGCCCTGGTGCCCGTTCCAGATGTGGGAGTGGGGTCTGAAGACGCCTCACGGACGGGCGGCCTTGTGGCAGGAGCTGCCGGATCGGGGGAGAGCATGGGCCAGTGGTTCGACGACATGTGAGTGTCGGCCAACCCCCTCTGTGATGGAGCATCGACCCGGTCGGGTGCGGCCTTGCAGATATGCAATACAGCCAGGCACGGTGTGGTTTTGTGTCAGATCTTCTGATGCTCATGGTGCTCTGTTTTTGGTGAGCAGTGCGCATGGCGGCGGTAGCCTATTAGCAATAGGCTATCGCCGCCACGCGCACTGTCCGGTAGTACTCCACAAGCAAGACCTGAATCGTGCCACTGGCTGCACAATCGCAGAAAGAAAATCCAAATTGACTCTGCACGCTCTGCTTTGATGTGGCACAGTGGCATGCTCATATCAAGAGTGGCGTCAATCCATCAATTCAAGATTTCACCAGTTCGAAACGCTCCAATCTTGCCACTCTCACTTCAAACCTGGTCCCAGTGGAGAGCAACAGGCACCAGCGGCAAATCATGTTCCATTTGCTCTATTTGCATACACCTCATCACCACCCTCATTTGCTACGTAACGAGGCAATGAGGTAGCCGTCAGCTTCCTATTTTGCCTGAGCAAAGCAGAGTCTGTGATCAGTTCGTTGAAATCTACTGCAAAACACAAACAAAATATGTGAGTCTATTAACTCGGAGTTAATGGAACTCGGAGTTAATGGAACTCGGAGCTAATCAGGAGTCCTGATGTCTAGAAGCGATTGTCGATGACAATACATCAAACCAAGTTCCCTCGCCAGTTGGCGAGCGGGAGCCGAAGCAAAAAGTACTTCTCCATTGCGACATCGAAAAATACAAGAGTGGCTTCGACGGGTGATGTCATGTGTGTGTATTTGCATATACACACAACACGTGTTCTCTATGTAGAAAATTTTGGTGCAGATTCTACTTCAATTCCAAGATGCATGGTACTTTCGCGCCCCGCCCAAGGCGTCTGGCTTGTTTTCCAAATTCACAAATTGTGTGGGGCGATTGCGAGCAGGGGGGCATCGGCCGCCGCTCGTGAGCTCATGGGAGAAGACCAAGTCTTCCACGTCGACATGCCTCGCTTCGCGCTGCCAAGCATAAGCAGCCTGCTGCCAGAGTACACCAATTCGGAGCAGGATTTCATCCGCAGGGCATTCCACGCTGGAAACTACGACATGCTGCGCTGCCTGCCGGCCGACATCAGAAACGAGGAGGTGTGCGCCGATCCGATATCTTAGGCAGGCACAGGGAGCTGCACCATACCGACACTTTCATGGAAATTGCCAGACTCCATAGCGGCGCACGCGCGCATCCTATGTGCGTGCGTGGTTGCTGCGGCTCGTCCGCAGCCTGCAAATGGGTTTTCTCTTACTAATATTAGCTGTTCCACACGGCTTGCGTGCTTTTTCTCGGCAATGGAATTACCTATTTCAATAGTACAATGCTTGGACTCCAGGCAGAACTGATTGACGGACAAAGGGAACCAGATGCATGGCAAATTTTGCTGGGCTTTTTTGCCACTGCATACAATACGCTGTCGATACAAGTCACTGCAGGGCAATAGTTTCAGAGGGTCTAAGCAACGGTGCCGTTGTTTTGTTACATCACCACAAAATCGGAACATTTGTGATTCGCCATGGTATCGTCAGAGCGCTTGGAGTACTGAGTGGTCGGTTTTCATGGTCACGATCTGTTGGTGGTACGCGCTGGTGAGTTGCCTTCTTCATGTCCTCGAGTACAGGAGAGCTAATACGGTTCAAATGCTGCTGGTCGTCCTTTGATCAGTGGAAACAGGAAGCAAATTGGGATGTAGTATTGGGGTCACTGGATGAACTTCTTTAAGGCAGGGAGCGCTTGTATCCCAGAATTTCACATCATGGCGTCAGGAAAGAAGCCCTGCTGGATTTGATCACCAGGAACACTCAACCAGGATCATTCTTGGCGTGTAGCGTGGGCACAATGCACTGAACGTGTATCAAGGGAAGCTGTGAAAGCGAACTGGCCACAACAGCCACGGCATTGTCAAAAACTTGTATTTCAAATAGGAACTGTGAACAAATGCACAATATTCAGACTATTAGCGCTTCATAGGCACGCTTTATTGCTCGTCCTCGATGTCCGGCGCTGCAGTGCATCTAGCTCTTCTGAAGTGCGCCGCCGACACCTGCATCTACATTCGAATAATTTGAACTGAGTTGTTGCTTCTGCAGTGGACATGTAGGTTACGCGTCACCGCCGAAACGCAATGGAAGCCGTGCACCAGTTTTCCGCGGCATCCGTTCTGCCAGACGGCACTCGAGCACCGTCGCTTCCAAAGGGCACCAACGGCCAGGGGCTCTTCAAGGCCTTTGAGTACATTCCATCGAGATACGATCTGCCGCGGGAGGCTGCTTCCAAGGACAGGATGGAATCTGAGGAGAAAATAGCAAAGGTGAAAACGGAGCGTACTTGCGTTTTCACATCTTCGCAGCGAATTCAATGGCTGAACAGCCGCGCTAGCAGTGTCATCGACTTTCGTCCGACTCGTCCGTCGCCCTCAGCTCAGAGCCAACTGGCTCTATTAAATTGCAACATAACGCAAATTTTAACGGCTCGGCTCTATCAAATTGCCATTTAGCGCTGAGTGTGACAAAATCGCCGCATTGTCACCCTATTAGGGCCTCCCTGATAACGCCAATGCCAAGTGACCAGCAAGAATGTGTGAGCACCTTCTGAACAAGTTCTGCACCAGATATCGGGGAGGAACTTCCAGCTATGCGGCTTCCTGTGCAAAGCAAAGTGCGAGGACGCCTTCGACTACGGCTTGCCGTATCCGTACCTGAGCGATCCGTACGAGGCTGGGGAGGAGACGCGAAGGATAGAGAAAAACGCGCAAGATTCGAGAGTGCTCTACGGCCCGTTTATCCCCCCTGGGGTGTCAAAACTCCCGGAAGTACCCACTAGGGCCATACAGGGTCAGGCCATGCAGCTTTTGAGAGACTGGATTCTGCAGGTAGGAAGAAGAAGCTTGTCCAGCGGAGGTTGCGAGGCCGAATTTCAACATCCTCGTCAAAGCATCCGACTCGTATACGGATATTTACTGATTGATCGACCCGTCGCTAGTTTCGGTACAAATCTGAGGACAAAGTCCACGGCCAGGACGACCCACATCGTGGTGTCCTTTCACATGGATTCGTGGTGGCTGCTCTTCCCAGGGTCGACCGGCGAGCCGTTGCTCTTGTTCGCCTAACCGTTACCCAGACGTTGCCCTTCCCGCGGATTCGGCACACTCGTCTACAGGTGGAGGTGGCGGGCTGCACCGTGGCTGTCACGGGTGCAGTGGTGCTCATTCTGCCTCTGTTCCGAACTTGCTGCAGGAGTTCACGTGCACTTGGGCGCAAATGCCCGATCCTCCCGCGCCACCGTTCTGCATATTACCCCTGGTATTGAGGCTTTCTGTTTGTCCAGGACTGGCAGGGCGCCGTCGTCTCTGTCTACGCCAACCCGGAAGGGCTGTGGGTCGTGAGGTTTGACCTGGAATCCGTGGAATCAGATATTGGGCTTGCCACGTACATGAACATATTCATCCGGTGCAACGCTCTCGTCAACAAATACGGAATTGTTAAGGTAAGGAACAAATATGGCAGGCGTTCCAGTGGATTTCATCAAGGCTATCCCTTCTCCTGTTGCACAATTTCAAAAAATGAGCTACATGTGCATACAGCGGCGTAGCTGTCAAGGCACCAATCACTTGGGCACATGCACAAGATGCAGCACTTTTCAGGCCACCTAGAAACGACCTGAAGGGCATAAACACTTGCGCGTTTCAGCGAGAGTTGTTTTCAGCGCTTTTCTTGATGTGCGAACAGGCAATGACCCCACCACCAGTAAACGCACGCCATTGAATGGCCGCATTCCATCAGGCAGAAACCAACCAGTTGTCGACCAGCATCGCTGCCAGCTGGCAGTAATGTGCTTTGAGCGAAACATTCCGCGAGCCAGTGCACTGCAAACTCAAAGGATGCCAATTGACAGCAGTGCACAAGGTCTGCGCCCATCCTGACCAGCCCTGCGCCGCCACTGCAGGTGGTCGAGAACTGGAACGTCAAACCTGGGGATGGCCACATTTATTTCGCCGTTCGGCCACCCTGGGTTCGCACCGACAAATACGAGACGTTTCTGACGCTACACCCGGAGGAGCGAAGTTTCAAGAGCATAAAGGACTGCAGGCAGATGATGGCTGGATGCGGGGGTAAGCCCATCAGCAGGGGAGGCACAGAGCACACCGACCAAACCAGCCTGGACTGTTCCTTGGAAGATAGCTGCCTGGGAGACAGTGTTGGGCTCTGATCAGAGTTGAGAATTGAGGGGTTGAGCGTATGGAGAGGGATTTCCACACCGCGCCAGCTCCCTGAATGACTCAAAAGCTGCAGTGCTCTGCAGCTGGTAGGGTGAGCACTGAAAGAAGTGGATGATCTTTTGCTCTTTTATCTCTTCTTTTCTTTGGGGAAATACTAACTCATGAACAGGAGCACATAGTGTGGATGCTGCATTGCCTCCTTACACACAAAACCTGCGTGCTGCAGGAAGGAATACCGCTCAGTACTGACACTCCATTTCCAAAGACAGGTTGGCTTACCGCACTTGAGCCGTTCATTCGTGCACTTGCACCTCTGGAATAGTTGCTTGTGCAATGGAGAGCCAGATGTGCTCCCAGAAAACGTGCGTTTGCATCTGTGGCCAGTGTATAGGGCAGCAGGCGGACAAACCAAATATTTTAGCTGTGGCACATGCGTGCAGCAGTATATGTAGGCATACAACATAAACAGGGAAGGCAACTTGTGCAGTGTGGTCAATACGCTGCTTGTGGACAAACAATGGGGCAGCGATGACCACCTTAACACTCCCATAGTGCGGCCTCCCATCCAACGAAAAAGAACGCTTTGCCAGCTGGGACTCAAGTGTGCTTTACAAAGAATATAAATCAAAGCATAAGTCAACGATCTCGCCCTAATGCCTACACTACAATCAAGCTGGTACCACAAGCAACATTCTAGGGCGGTGTTATTACTATATTGATGCACAGGTCCATTGTGCAGCTGCTGCAGCCTCCCTTGGTACTTGAACCCACCACAAGTCACAGGTCCTCATCCATGTCCCCATCAAGCATCACAACACTGCCATCTGAACACATTCAGAGCACACAAGGGCATTGCTGACAGCTATCCCACAAAAGGATGGCAAACACATCATTCTGCATTGAATAGCATCACTGCAGGTTTCTTCAGAAAACCCATCATTCACAGTATCATATGACCATTCCTTGACAGCAAATGAAACCATGCAAATGATAGCAGGCATAAATGAGGGCAGTCTGTAGCCCACCAGATAAGCAGATGGTTCCCAGTCTTCTGACTCAGCTTGATTATTCACTGTCTTTCCTGTGCTCTCATCTCCATTCCAGGTGTAAAACAGACAAGCTAAACATCGGCCTAGAGTTGCCATCGTTTACAATGAACGAATGAACAGCTTACAAGGATAATGGAGGCAAACAGCCTCATGGTCCAAATGCAGGTTTGGTGAACAGGTGTCTTCAAAGTGTTGCCCTCGTACTCCACAACTTGCACAATATGTTCGTGTTGTGTACAGTATGGCGTGCTGTCAGTCAGGCTTCACCGCCAGGACAAGCTGTGAAGTTGGACTCAAATGCAATATCAAGGTGGGCATAATGTCTGTGGCCACCAAGGATGCGCACAAGGGACAACACTCAACAAGAAAACGTATTTGACTTGGACCTGGCAAGTCGAGCATCAAGGACGAGTAAAAGCCAACATCAGCCCAACAAGTTACTGTTGTTCGTCAAAGGACAAGCTGTTGCACAGGCATCACACTACCTCATTTGCAACCAGCGAGTGAAGTACACTTACCTTCCCACAGACACAGAGGCTCAAATTTGAAGATGGCAGTCTTCATGCCGAATGCCTTCAATATGCCAGCCTGTTTTGGTGTCAGCACATCACCTTGCTTGCACACCTGTGCCACATATTCCGACTCAATCTTCCACATATGCACCTAAAGTCGATGGTTGCCGTGGCCGAGCCTGAACTTTGAGAGGCAAAAGTAGACAACGTTGTCTCTCAAATATCTGCCCAGAATTGCAGCCCACAAGCTCCCTCACATCAGCAAAAGTGTGGAGTTAGCAGAAGCCAAGATTAGGAGTGGCTGCTACAGACACATGGCTGTGCTATTGCCAATTTGGAGCAACACTTTGTGTGGGCATAGAGCAAGTTTCTGAGCAAGGGGCCCATGGCCAAGTTTTCGAAGTGGCTCTGAAGTAGCAACTCTCATTGTTCTTTTATCCTGCTGCAATCTATACCTAGAGACTGTTGAGCATACCTCATGATCTGTTATCAACTCAATCACTCCTTTGTTGAGCTTTGTTGGCAGCCCCAATCCCCTTAAATTTGGCTCCAATGTGTGTGAAAAACCTTCCAGAGGGCCTTTCGGAACTGCAAAATCAACAGTGGCTCTGCTTCCAGCACGCGCAAAATCTTCCTCTTCAAAGTTCTTCAGTATGTCTGACACCTGGCCCAGGGCAAAAATAGTGAATTAGATAATCAAGCATGGGACCTGGCCCAATTGCAGTTTGGCTTCATGTATATTGGCCCGTTCCGGGCATTGGTCCATCAAGCATCTGTCAAACACATCCCCATTTGGGAAGGACTGGTTGTTCAAAGAACACATAGTTTCGCACAAACAAGTGCTACAGGCAGCCACCGTGCAGATGCAGATGCCAAACATCTTGTCTTCAAATGGCAACAAACGAAACATTCGCACATGGCTGGATCCGCATTGGGTTGCCAGCCACTGTTGTTCCTGTGCTTGTGCATTGTACTGAAGTCAACCTACCTGCTCTCTTGTCAGCTTCGTGAACAGCAATCCCACCTCCCCTCGCAGCAACTCTGACAACTCATGCAAATTCGGGCGATATTCCTCCGCCTTAGTTTTGCCAAGGGCAAATCGCAACAGGCTGTCCCTCCCAATGAAGAATCTGCACATCAGCAATCGCCACCGTTGGGAAGGAATTCCGCTGAAAAATCGCCGCTTTTGCCGCCAGCAGCGCCCGACGGGCTCAAGGACGACCTTGCTGAGGAAGGTGCACGGCCGACAGAGGCGCCTGTAGTTTACACCCTGCCCCTTCTCGGCAAGTTCTGTGGCGGCGGCGACCATCGGCCTCACCTTGTCGAATTGCGCAGCTCTGTGCGCAACTCCTGGAAGCAGCGGGTCCGAAAGTTCGAGTAGCGAAAGACCACCAGCCTCGGGTACCTGGTACACATCCCGGCGCACACGACAAGCTCAGCCGAAATCCTTCGAGCGTCTGAGCGCGGCCGGCGTCCTCGCGGGGCATGCATCAGCGCAAGGCACCAACATCGCAAATGACTCACTGGTCAAACGACTCCCGTATCTTGTCCAAGTGACCGGCCTTCCACTCCTTCCCTTTCTTCTTGACCTTCGACGTGTGCACTGCGGTGCGGCGGCAATTGAGCCGGACGTCAATTCCAAAGGCAGTCTTCCCCAACAGAGCGCTGCGGTCAGATTGTCTCTTCGCGCTCACCGACTCTGTTTCTTTTGCTCTTGGGCATTCTGCCGTCTCGGCGTGTGCTGCCAAGGGGACCGGCCGACCTCGAACGAAAGCTCTCCCACCTATTGGCGGGAGGGGGAGTGCAATGGAGGACTGTTCCTCCTGCCCTGCTGCAGTTGACAGTGTTCGTGGACATTCCTTTGAAATATTAAACCCTTCCGCATCAGAAAATTTCACCGTTACGCTTTTTGCTCCGCATTTTGTTTTTCACAGCGTTATTTCTATTTTTTTACGTTGCTCCGCACAGAAAGGCCAAGATTTGCGTTACTATTTATATTATTTTCTCCGCAAAATATGACCAAGCGTTACGTTACTATACGGAAGGGTTTAATATTATGCAGTAATAGACGTCGTTCACGGTCATCATCCAAGAGAGTGACTGTTGGGCTTTGCGGCGAGCTGGATTTCATATATAGATTGAACACTCATCTACAACGGACCATGCCATTTTGTCGATGTTGGTGCGCTTAATGGCAAACTGAAGCGGCGAAGGGGAGCTGTGTTGCTGGCAAATTACGTTAGCTGTCACAAAACGGTGGTTCACCGCACGACCAACGAAAGCTACCGACGAAATTGTCGAGGGACGACACAACACTCGGCAATTCACATTAGAAGGGCGCCATGTGCCAGCCCCGTTTTTGGTCTGCTTGCTCACCACTTGGCCTTGGAGTACGCGTTTTGTATATTGATATCTGTACAGTTGGTGTTGAATGGACGGCACGGGGTCCAGACGAGACTCTTGTTTGAGACAGAGCAAACAATTAGACACGAGCAAGCTTTGCAACTATCTACCGCTTCACGCTTTCTTGTTATGCAGTGCAAGACCTCCATATGTTCTGTTAGAACTGTGGTGGCACCTGGACTCTTAATTCAGATGTTATGTGCAACAAAATCAAAGTAAGCAGGAAGACCGGAACAGCTTTGGCGGTGTGCTGAAACGATCCAGCGCATGTGCTTCTGTACCCGCAGCTGCCCCCTTGGCACGCATGGCAAGCATCTATCATATTATGCTTCTTAAGTGGCGATTGCTGCAAAATAGCACAAGTACAGCGGGCTCGCGGATGCTACACTTTGCCACGTTTGCTGTAACTGCATAGTTGTCTCATTTTCAGTATTGCATTGTGTTACTGATTACATTGCCTGTTGTGGAAACACTTGGGGTAGATGTAGTGGACCATTATTTTTCTCATTATCTTTAGATAATGGTGTACAGCTCCATATTTATAGCATAATGGTTTGATTTACCTCTTGGCCTTTGTTGTCTAAATATGCGGGTGTATGGGTGACTTGAAGGTGCAGAGCATTGTACTGCAGCCTGGATAATGGGGGCCGAGTACGGGGGGTTGTGGAGCTGTTTTGGTGGTGACCAGTGGCCCATTTTGTATAGTGCATTGTGGTCGTGTCTTAATGTACTAGCACACTTGGAGGTGTGACGGTCGGACGGGTATTTGGATGCAAGGGGCGAACTGTCTGACTGTAATTGTTCTTCCTGGCTCACTACCGACTCCCGAGGGGGCGACCGCGCGCCCCCGCTGTGTTGCGGCCCGCAGGCGGCCGCTGGTTTCCGGAGTGTGGGGGCGGTCGCCGCACCCGATGGCGCGGCCTTGATGCCGCGCCTCTCCGCCGGATTGCGGCGGGCGTTGTCGGGGTGCTCGGTTGTTCGGTAGCGCGGTGGGCCCTTGGACGCTCGGGGACCTTCCCCGAAGCCTGCCGTGTGCAGGCGGTGGATTCGCGGCGGCGGTCGGCAGTTCGCTGCCTCGCAGCGGGGCAGAGAGGGGGCCCGAATTGCGATTACAGTCTGACACAACGCGGCGCGCATCCAATGTACCTGCGCGATGCCCGGTCGCGGGTCCATCGCGTCACATCAGACATGACAGCTCATTGTAATGTACGGACCGTGTACCAGCGCCCCTCCGTCACCTATAATCAACCTAATCTAGCTCTAATTCCAACCATCCCCGCCCAGCACCCGGCCTCTAAGTACTGCGTCTTCACGAGGCCGTACCTTCCTCAATAATCCATAGAATTGAGTGCTGAAAGAAGCATTGGAACCAAGAAATCATAATTAAACCGTAGAGAAGGATGACTCAGCGAGATTACGTAATACAGCTGCAGAAAACATCATTTACTGCCTGCCCCCAAGTAGCTCTACAACAGTACTCTCCCCTTGGGGTAGCTTTCGCCCTCGAAAGCGTCACTATCCCATACTAGTGACTTCCTCGGGCTTGTCCCTCTTGATCATCTTCTGCAGCTCTCTCGCATAGGTGAAATTTCCTGCCGGTATCCAGGAGGCATCATCCAAACTCCACCCTGTCCATAACACCAAAAATTCCTTGTGCCTCCTGCCACTGGGGCCTGCCCATCTCCAACGCAGCAGCTTCTCCACGTCGTATGGTTCATCAGCTTCAACTTCAATCTCAGCGTCTTCATCTTCCTGTGGGGACGACCATTTGGACGTTCTGAATGGTCGCAGCAAACTCGTATGGAAGACATTGTGAATCTTCCACCCTTTAGGCAGCTCCAATTCGTAGGCCACTGGTCCCACCGGACGGACCACAGCAAAGGGACCCACGAATCGCCTCTTGAGTTTGCGAACAGGTGCATTCTTCAATTGTAGATGTTTTGTGCTCAGCAACACCTGTTCCCCATTGTGAAATCGCTGATCACGCCGCCGTTGGTCGGCTTGGCATTTCTGTCTCTGTTGCGCCTGTTGAACCATCTGCATCGCCAACTTGAACGTCTTCTTCATACGTTTAACGAAAACATCAACCCCTTCAAGGTTTGTCTGGTCGACGTCTCGTATCAAGCCCAATGGGTCACTGGTTCAAACCCATAGTTGAGGTAGAACGGTGTATGCCCCGTAGCTGGTGATGCACTGCTGTTCATCACGAATTCCACCATGGGCAGATAACGCTCCCAGTGTGTGATGTCCTGACTCGCATGGATAGTGCATCGGAGGACTTGCTCCACCACCCTATTTGCTGCCTCCGTTTGACCATCTGTCTGAGGGTGGTGGGCACTGGACATTCGCAGCTTACTCCCCAATAACTTCCAGAATTCTTGCCAGAACTTGGACACAAATCTTGGGTCACGATCACTGACAATTGACCTGGGGATCCCGTGTAGTTTCCCTATGTTGTCCCAGTAGACACGGGCAGTTTCAGCAGCTGTGATGGTCTGCTGAATTGGTACCAGGTGTACCATCTTCGTTGCCCGGTCTACAACTGTCAGGATCCCGTCGTTGCTCCTCTCACTGACCGGTAGACCCATGATGAAGTCCAAGCTGATGTCACTCCATTTCTCCTCTGGAAGTTGTAAAGGCTGCAATAGTCCAGCCGGCACCTTGTGGACACTCTTCTCAGACTGGCAGACCTCACATCCCAACACATAATCTCTCACATCCACTGTGTGGTCTGGCCAGTAGAAGTTTTGTTGTAACTTCTTGAGTGTCTTGTGGTAGCCCAGATGACCCGCGTATGGTACTGCATGTATCTCCTCCATAATCCTTCTGCGGGCATCCTCCACATCCGGTACCACCAACCTCCAAGGTCGCCTGTCCTCTGAGTTGTCTTTCAATTTAATCTCCAGTAATCCATGACTCAGCCGGTAATCACGATTCCCGATCCTGGTGACACGTCCTTGGGCAGATTCCAATTGTTCCATCACTTCTGCCCATCTGTTGTCTTCTCGATAGCCCTTTTTAATAGAGTCCCTCAAGCTCTCCTCCAGTGTGACACGGGCATTGGTCACCAACAAAGAATGTAAAGAATGAAGTGAATGATCTCCCCCACCAGCAGCCACCACTGCTTCCCCAGTTCTCGACTTCTTAAAAATTTCATCGAGTTTCTTTTGTATTTCGTTCTCCCCCTTGTCACCTTTATTCAACTTAAGACGTTGGACCAATGACTCCTCTTCCGCACGCACATCCGCCATACTGCGCAATTCCTGAATACTCCTGCGCGTGAGGAAGTCTGCAGGGTTGTCCTTTCCTGGGATATGGACAATGTCACAATCGTATCCCTGCAGTACCTGCACCCATTTCCAAAACCGCCTGTTGACAGCAGGTTGGTTGGGCAGGTTTTTCAAAGAGTCATGGTCTGTCTGGACGATGAAGTGGCGGCTGGCCAAATAATGCCGCCATTTCCCAACAGCCCAGGTGATGCCCAGAAATTCTCTATCGTATGCACTGTACCGGGTTTCAGCGGGGTTGAGCTTCCTGCTTTCATAGCAAACGGGTTGCAGCCCGTTGCCAAAGTCCTGTTGCAGGATTCCTCCCACGGATACCTCTGACGCATCCGTTGTGACCACAAATTCCCGCTCGAAATCCGGTAACTGCAACACTGGAGCAGTCACCATTGCTGTCTTCAACCGGTTGAATGATTTCTCTGCTTCATCGTCCCAGACAAAGGTCCTGTCCTTTTTCGTGAGGTCCGTCATGGGTGCTGCCAGTTCGCTGAACCACCGTATGAATCTGCGATAAAAACTGCACAGCCCCAAAAATGACCGGACATCAGTGACGTTGGTTGGTGTCGGCCAATCCAAAATTGCTCTGACCTTCGACAATGAGGGCTTGATCCCCTCAGCTCCCACGTCAAAGCCCAGATATTCGACTTCGGTTCTGAAGAAGTCGCATTTCTTCAGCCTTCCAAACAGCTTCTCCGACCGAAGTCTACTCAGAACTTCCCTGATGTGTCGTAGGTGTTCCTCCTTGGTTCTGCTGTATATCAGGATGTCATCAAGGAACACCAATACATATTTGTCCAAGCCTTCCCGCAGTACTGTGTTCATGATGCGTTGGAAGGTTGTTGGTGCATTACACAGTCCGAATGGCATGACCAGATACTCGTAGCTGCCATACCGACTCACAAAGGCCGTTTTGTGTACATCTGACTCTCGCACCCTGATTTGATGGTAACCAGAGGCGAGGTCAATCTTCGTGAAGTAACGTGCCCCGTGAAGTCGGTCCAGTAATTCCTCCACCTTTGGCAGCGGATACCGATTCTTGACAGTGATTTTGTTTAACGCCCGGTAGTCTATACACATGCGCCATTTCCCATCCTTCTTGGGGATGAAAAGGATAGGGGCGCCATACG